TACCTGGGCATAAACCCATGAAAGACCGTCTCACTCTATTGCTTGGTGCCAATGCTTCAGGGGATTTCCGACTGAAGCCTATGCTTGTCTACCACTCTGAAAACCCCAGGGTGTTCAAGCAACAGAAAGTGGTAAGAACAATGCTTGGAGTTTATTGGAAGTCCAACCGTAAGGCATGGGTGACAAGACAGTTCTTTAATGAATGGGCTATTGATGTGTTTTGCCCCTCTGTCAAGAGCTACCTAACCACCAATAAACTTCCTTTAAAGGCTCTTCTCCTCATGGATAATGCTCCTGGTCATGACCCTGACCTTGCCAGAAATTTGGAGTATAAATTTGACTTTGTGAAAGTGTTGTTTTTGCCTCCAAACACTACATCACTCATACAGCCAATGGACCAGAATGTGATCAGCAACTTCAAGAAGTTGTACATGAAGAAAATGTTTAGGAGGTGTCATCAGGCAACTTCCATTGATCCTGAACTAACACTGAAACAGTTCTGGAAGACACAATTCAACGTCCTGGAGGCTGTAAAATTGATTGTGTCATCATGGCAAGAAGTCTCCAATAGAACCCTCAATTCTTCATGGAAAGCACTGTGGCCATCAGTAGTCCATGATTTTGAGGGATTTGAGGATGACACAGAGTTGGACCAGGAGATTGTGTCCATTGGTCAGTCATTGGGTCTTGAAGTGGAGGAGAAGGATGTGGAAGAGCTTGTGATGTCTCATGAGGAGGAACTTACTCCTAATGACTTGAAGGAACTGGATGAGATGTTACGGGTAGAGGCTGACAGTGGTGAGGAGGAAATTGAAAGTGATGACCATATGTCAGCTACACAGTTGAAAGATGTGATTTACCACTGGGAGAAGTTCAGGGAACTGGCTTCAAAGCACCCAGAAGTGGAAAAAACTGAACTAGCTTTGTGTCATGTTGAGGACTCAGTGGTCTCCTTCTTTAAACATAAGTTAATGGTGAGGAGGACAGATGCCCCACAGACCACAATTGACACTTTCTTCAGTAAAAGGCAGAGGGAACAAGATGCTAGCCCTCAGCCTTCCACTTCAAGAAGGAGAGAGGATGTTCATGGTGGAGAATCTGTCAGTCCAGAGGTTCCTGACATTTTCATGGAAGGTGACTCACCTTCCAAGAAGCAGTAAAATGCTTCTCCTCCACCTTTCCTTCTCTTCTCCCTTCTCCTCCTGCACCTCCCACTTCAAATGCACATCATCACCATCATCCAGGAGCCTTCTACATACACACCTCAAAGTAAGTAAATTTTTCCATTTTTGTTGAAGTTAGGAAATTTTCGGTGAGCTGGAACCAATTACCCAAAAACCCATTGAAACAATGGTTTCGGTTAACGAACGTTTCGGTTAACGAACGACCTTCTGGAACGGATTGAGTTCGTTAACCGAGGGGCCACTGTATATGTATATGTATATATATATGTATATGTATATATATATATATATATATATATATATATATATATATATATATATATATATATATATATATATATATATATATATATATATATATATATATATATATATATATATATATATATATAGGTACTGTATATTCTTTCAGTGAAGACGAGCCCGGAAGGGTGAAAAAAAACGTCATTCACTAAGTGACTTGAAAGCAGAGGATATTAGGCACTAACGATCTATCGTCTTCATAATAGAAGACGAGCTGTGGTCGCCATGCTGACCAGACTGTATAAGAAATTGTCCCAATCACAATATCTGAGAGACATAAACAAAATAAAAGTCACTCGATATCCTCACCGTTCTAAGATGTATAAATACCCAATATAAAATCCTCGTGGCATTTAGTATTTCAGCTATTGCAACAAAAATTAGCGGAGCCTTCTTTGTGTGTATTTACAGCTGATTTGCCAGGGAAGAAGATGATGGCAGCAATGCGTGTGGTGGAGGGTGCGGGAGGGGGTTTGAAAATTGCAATTAAATGCCAGGTAGCGACGTGTCCTCTTCATATTACGTATTAAGTAATTATTAGATTTTTTAAATGCCTGTATGTTGGCCTGGCGAGTTATTGCTAGGCATTAACATACCTAGGTATAAAGCTAGACGTCGCATTCTGGATTGAACAAAAAGATACATTACAAAAAATAATCGGTTTTTGTCTTCTAGGAAGTAAATGCGAAATAAAAGGTTTTAATAAACAAATTCCTAGAAATTTGCACAGGTATCAATATCTATGTATTTGAAATAGGTTCCGTTCCTGGAAAACAAAAACATTCATCAATCTAAATTTTGTAGATTGAATTAGATTTTTTTCTGATTTCCATTATACTGTATACAGGTACACCACCGATTTTCTGGGAACTGATGGTTCAGCACCTCCTTTAGTCTGGACAAAATTATGAGGGGGCACTTAACTTCCCTCCTCCCTCCCAGCCGGGGTGAAGCTAGTTTAAGGCTTAAAGTTTTTATCTTATAAAATGTAGCTGACTAGACTTTGCAGAATATAAATTGCATTACTGGAACCCTTGTAAGATAATGATTAATTTGAGTATAAACATCATATAGTTTGTACAAGAGATAAAAAATTTAGTCTAGTGTAGTACATTTGAGTTCAAGTTTTTCAACTCATATTCTTGGGAAGATATATGTAACTTTATTCATTTATTTTTACCCATTTACATGCACACACCATCCTAAATACTGTATATACTATTGTATTGTGAATAAAGTAAAATAAATAATTGTCCTCAGGGTGAACCTGTACTCAAATGTACTAAGTTAATTGCTAAAAAAAGTCTAGTGCAAACTATAGGATGTTTGTACTTAAATTAATCACTATCTTACAAGAATTACAGCAATTTGGCAATTTATATACTGCCAAGTCAATTCAGTGACATTTTTATAAGGGGAAACTTAGACCCCCTCTATTTGATAATTATGCACTTTGTTATCTCCCCTCCCTGACAGCTGTCAACACCTATTAAAAAATAAAAGGAACCCCCCCCCCCCTCCCCCCTTACTCCCAGCCTGGGTGAAGGTGGTTTTAGGCTTAAAGTTTTTATCTTTAAAATGTAACTGACTAGACTTAGCAGAATATAACTTCATTGCTGGAATCCTTGTAATATAATGATTAATTTAAGTGTAAACATCACATAGTTTGCACAAGAGATAGAAATTTTAGTCTAGTGTAGTACATTTGAGTACAAAGTGTGTACAGTAATGTTGCTCAAATACGGCTTTTTCACATTTAATATTTGTTTAATTTAAGTTTCTAGCAGCCCATGGTGCTTTAGGGACACGGAGGTGTATAATTAGTGGGTCAGAGGTGTATTGTTGAATTATTATTACCTGACCTAGGTTGGTCCAGCAAAATGGATAATTATGCGATGAACCAAGGGTGCCGGAAAATCAGTGGTGGACCTGTAATTGGATATACATTTCTACAAAATTAATCTGCTCCAATCTTACTTATGATTATATTAAATACATTTTTAGGCACATGTTTAATGGGAAACAGGATTGTTTTTATGAAATAATAATATGATGGGCACATACCAAGTTTCATCATTAGTGTCTTATGGCCATTTTCCTTGCTTGTGTGGTAACCTGATGGCAGCTGTTGGGTAAAAACAGAACTGGATCCCCCCATTCATTCTACATCACAAACCTAGGGTATCAACTCAAGAAATGCGACATTAATTTATATTGTTCAATTGAGAATTAATTTATAGTGTGTAGCCTTTGAATTCTAATTACGATATATCTTAATATTATAATTAACCAAAATAAATCACCGTAATAGTAAAAATATGAAAATAAAAATTAGGTTTCATTTTTCGCATTTTTCATTTACTGTACATGACCATTTACACGATGACAGAAATCAAGAGGTTAATGTAAAGAATTAATATTATTTGTTTTGTTTTTAAGTAAATTTGAAAGTGGAATATGGGAAGTAAAATGTTGTTTTGCCTTCAATATACTGTTTTGATATTACTGAATCTTATACAGTAAATGATATTTCCTGTACTGTATTCTGATTCTTTTATTGCCTAGGTTCTGAGTGACAGCGCTTTACACTGTTCACTTGTTTATTGTGTTGACGGTGAGATGTTTGGGTAAGGAGAGAATATTGCTGCTAAATACCCGGTAAGGGTAACCATCTTATCTGTCATTGTAATTGTTAGCTAGAGCTGAATAGATGCCCCAGTCACATAAGAAGCTAAGTAACGTGTACCAACAGAGAAAAATTGTAGGCTTTTCAGTTTTGGGCCCTGAAGATGCATGGATTTCAACCCCTTTAATGTATTACTGTTGAATATTAGAGGTCAGGGCTCATGAATGGGGAGTTGGTATACAATTTCTAACTCGCAACTCATTAATCCAGAATCGTGAATGTCTAGGGCTGACTTTACATCTGTTACAGCAGTAAAAATAAATGAATGACAAACTAGTAAAAGGAAAGTCATTGTATATTTGCTTTTGATTCTTGGCTACCCTGAGTTATTGTTGCTATAATTATTATTATTATTAATAGTATTTATTTACTTATTTTTTATTTTTATTTTTTAACCTTGCTGGGAGATGCTGTAAGGAAAGAATAAGGCATTAGTGATGATAATGTTGTCTAAACTCCACGTACACCAATTTTTACCAACAGGTGAAGTTATAGAACTACGGTAATTTTTATGATATACTGTAATGTATAACAGATGCTGAGCAATACTGAATTTTGCTTTTGCATTTTCAATATATTTTTATGTTTCACATGATTAACAAGTTTATAAGAGTGAGATTCTACAATTTAGTTGTGCGGCAAGTAAATGTTAGTCCATTGTACGGTATCCTCATTCAGTTAAATTAGTGATTTTAGTTTTACTGTTACACTGCAGTTAAAAAAAAATTAACCCTGTTATTGTGTATTTATAGATGTATGATAACAAAAGCATTTGAGAATTCAGGGAGCAGCGGTTTTGGTATTTTTATAATTATTATCTTCCACAGGGCAATATTCGTGTGTTTTGTAGGGTTCGCCCCCTAATAGGTGATGAGATAAAACACAATGGAGACAGTGACTTTATCCATCATCTTAATGTCACTGATGAACAAACTCTTGAGGTTTACAAGTCTGGAGGTGAGTTTGATTTCTTTTTAATTACTAATCCCCCTATTTGTATTAAGTACTGTAATTTACTATTTTTTGGGAGGAGGGGGGGGGGGCTATCACCCCTAAACCTGATAATTTTTATATATAAGATGACTTGTCTAGGCGTCTGTTTTCCTTGTACAGTAAGCCCATTATAATTGACCTATATGGGGGGAGGGGTGGGTTGGAAATGCCGATAAGTCAGATATTCGAGGTACTGTATGCACTTAAGATAATTACTTGAGTTAGGTAATAATCACATGTGAGAATACGGGGTACAAATACAGAGGGTATATGTATACAGTAAAGCCTCCGATAAAGACGGTTCTACTAATGAGAAAAGTTAAGGCTCATAGTATCGAGGATCAAGTCGTAACAGAGACTGGCTTGGCGTTGCTTGGGGATGCTGTGACGTTCCGTGAGTGAGGGCAGCGCGCCGAGCCGAGAGAGTGTAGCACGGCCAGACAAGAGTGGGTGATGCGCCGTAGAAAGTACAGGCAGTTCTGCTATAACTCTCTAGTTGTGTTCTTGTAAAACCTCGCGTTGTAGAAATTCGCGCAATAGAAATAACAGGGCTTATGGAGAAAATAGGGTTAGGTGCAGATTACGCAAAATTGAAAACAATTTAGTAGTTAGCCTAACACAAAGGATAGCACAGTCTAAATAAATGTTACATTCATATCTAATAATGAAATCATACAGTAAATGTAACACTTTACCTTTGAAAAATATGAATATAACTTGATGGGGGAGAAGGTTGATTTTGAGGTTGAGGAGTCATGCAGACAGGAGTTGAGAGTTGTCATCATCATCATCAGGTGCAGTTTTGGTTGCATGGTTGGGATGAAAAAAACATCTAATTCCAGAAGTGGATGGCGGGGTTCAGTGTCTTCAGTCTGCTTCTTGGGGGTTGACTTAAAAAAGTCGTTTAATGTTTGCTGCTTTGCCGTCTTTCTTCTTTCACAAAGAAGCTGTTCATAAGGTGCCAAAAAAGATTTAACACCACGAACTGCAATCCTGCTTCGTTCTGCATATTCACAGTTAATACCACAAAATTGGAGAAATAGTAAGCAAAAATCACTGAGGACGCTTCAAAACAACCCACGTGTTTCAACTGATCGTCTGATGGAAACAGAGAGCGCGGGTGTAAAATGCTATTAGTCCGCACTGCGAAACATTATTATTAATTTTTTTTTCATACAGTATTTATGGGAACAGCTAAATTTGCAAAAATAAAGAATGAAATTTATAGAGTCCCTAGCAAATAACACTTCACAAACAAAACACATGAATCAATTGAACATGTGATGTCAAACGTGAACTGTAAACACTGCGTTCGAGTGGAATCGCGTTACAGCCAACACGCGTTCGCGTTTTACAAATATCGTTCTTCTATTCATCAATCGTGTCATAGCCAATTCGCATTGACAAATCACGCGTTGTAGCAGAAATGACTGTAGTCCGTGACGACTCAAAAGGAGGTAGTATCGGATCACCAGGACGTTAAACAAATTTTTGTTCTCTAAAGTTCAGCGACATACTACTGAAACAACGTTAAGCCGGACGACGTTAAACAAGTACTTACTATACAATCACAATATTCTCTGACTGTAGATAATTTTATAGTCTTATTTTCTATCTTCCTTATTTTCTTCAACTTCAGCATCAAGTAATGCAACACTTTCTGCCTGGATCACCCTCAACAGCTTCAAGTCATTCTTCAACATATTTTTGAGTCACTTCAGTCTCACCTCCAGCTACTTGAGCTTCTAACGCTACGTTGCCACGTTTAACAGCTGCTTACACGTTAAACAGCTGACCAGACCCGTCCCACGGGGGGTGGGTTGGTTAAACGAGGGTTTATTGAACTGCATTACCCCTAATGTCTGCCGTAATTGATGTGCTAATGATCATTATGAGGGTTTCTTGGTTGAACAATTATTTTTTAGAGAGTAGGAGGTCAAATAAGAGCTGCCATTTTCATTTCATGTCAATCCACAAGCTTAAAATTAATTTCTTTGCTAACAGTTCAAGAGAACAGACACTTTAGACTGGCTCTCCCATGCATTTCTCGTGTTTTACAAAAGCTAAGTGTCAGTCCCGTTTTAGAGACTCGGTGATAGTTAACTACAGTTGATTTCAGATTTAGGCATTATTGTAATAATCTACAATTTATTATCATGTTTTAAATAACAAAAAGCTTGTTCATATATCAGTCTTGGATTGTCTAGGTATGTATTCCTGTGCTTTATTTAGCATTTAATATACCATATATGGATTTCACATCCACATCTGCGGACCACCTGCAAAATTTTTACGTCCGCATCAAGAAGATGTAGATTTGTAGAACTTGAGATATTTATAATAATTATATAATACAGTAAACCCTCGAAAGTCCAGACACCGTAAGTCTGGATTTCGGATAGTCCAGACCCTGACCGGGCGAGAAACATTTGTCTGAACCCTTGAATATTTGTCCTTTGAAATATCCTCCACACATGATCATTTCAAATTCTAATACTGCACTGTCCAACAATCAGAATGCAATCGAAGTCATTCGCTTGCATGTCTGCCACCAGTGGCACTGAAACAATTTTGTTTAAATTTTATTTACTCTGTTACATGCACACACAATCTTTCAAACAGAATGTGATTTTTTTTATTTTAAGGTAAAAAACATAAAGAGAATAAACATTTCTTACATCTGTGGGAGTTAGTGTAGGATCACGGGAGGGGAATGTGGGAGTGGGAAAGGGGTGAGGCATCAGGGATCTCAGCTCATCTTTATATTATTTACAGGTGAAAAAAGTAATTTAATTGGCAATAAAACTTCCTCAGAGAGCAATGTTCAGATTTCTCATTCATTCTGTCATATTGTATGACCCTGAGAGCATTCAAGAACTTTTTATAGCTTAAACTTTATTTTGTGTTTATTGAATGATTTTATCAATCATAATTATAAATACATAATCGTATATTCATCTTCAGATGTGAATGGAAGCACAATGTCTGGCCTGAAGGGACGTGGAAATGGTAACTTTGAATTTACCTATGATCGGGTCTTTAGTCCAAGTGGAACACAGGCAGAGGTATTTGAGGAAATTTCACAACTAGCCCAGTCTGCTTTAGATGGGTATAATGTCTGTGTTTTTGCCTATGGCCAGACTGGATCAGGCAAGACATTTACAATGGAAGGTATTCACGATAATGAAGAGTTGGAGGGCATGATTCCCCGTACTGTAAAGCACATCTTCTCAACTATGAAGCAGCTGAAGGATAAGGTATGTGTGTGTCTCTCTCTCTCTCTCTCTCTTTTTTTTTTTTTTTTTTTTTTTTTTGATAATCTATGCAATTGTTTTTTCTCTTTACTTTAAAAAATAAATAAAACTGAGATGGGATGTGAGCTTGAAACTTAAACTTGTTCATCCGCCCATTACAGATTTATTTATTCATTTGCAGTAATATCTCCAATAGCCGGAATCCCTCAAACCTGGAAGTCTCGTATAGCTGGAATTGAAATTTGCTCTGAAAATCATTCCTAAAGCCGTAATTTTCCAAAAATTTCTGGCTTTAGGAAAAAATTTTCCAGGGTTGAAAATCAAGAGATTTTTTTGAAAAGTCTTTAATAAATATGAAAAGTATTTCAGGCGTGGGGCCTGACCTGACTCAATGTCAGGTGGAAGTAGGGTGAGGGATTAATGGTCTAATATTACTGACCTTGTGATGGAGTGTCAGGTCACCCTTTCTTGGGTGGGAGATTAGTGGGCCTCTTGACCTGAAGATGTCTTGAATAAACATGAAAGCTAAAGTATTTCTAGGGAGATTGTGATAAGTATAAATGAGTAAAGTTGTATCCCTTCAACATTATATTACAGGACATTTTAAAATATGGAGAGAGAAAGAAGAAAGGTGTGGGTGATTAGAGAGATGGAGTGGAAAGGAGAGGTAACATGCACCAGTGTTGCCAAGAGATAAGCTCCTCAACAGCTGATCTTTTAATTAACCCCCATGCAGTCACACAACAAGACCTTCAATGGATGCTTGTTGTCTTTTTATGATAATAAACTACATATTCATTGTTATTTAAGGTTTAGAAGTTTCCAAATTTTCGTATATTTGCTTAATTAATGAAGAAAATTATATTTATGAATTGGCAACTCAACTAAAACCACAGCTGCCACAAAATTCTTACATCAAATTTTCTTCATTATTTAAACAAATAAACGAACATTTGGAAACTTCTCATGACCTTAAATAACAATGAACAGTTTATTATTATAAAATATTACCTTTGGTTTGTTTAATAATTCCTTTACCAAGTATTGCCAGGTAAAATTGCCAGCACGAGACCCAGGGTGGGGTCGGTGCATCTTTGGCTGACTGTACAGTACATTTAGTACAAAATGAGTACAGTAATATGCTGCTCAAAATTATGGATTTATCACAGGGAAAACTGGTCAGGATATTATGGTATCTAATGTTACGGAATATTTAAAATAATTTGTTCTAACAGTACCCTTCACATACAGTAAAATACTTATTTTTACCTTCTAATTCAACTTGTCATTTAAGGATATAATATTGGAAATGTCTCATAGAAGATCATTATGGTATCAAATTCATCTCTAACACAAATACAGTAAAGATTATAATGTTTGTTGAGAACTAAGCAGGGAGAGGGAGAAGGGTCCATTGGAGGGGTAAAATTGTCCACGCCACCCAACTTGCACAATATTCATTGGCTGTCCTTATGTTTTAGACTTTACCACCATATGTGAGTAGAATTTTTGTTTTACATTTGTAAGTATTATTTAAAACATATATGAACAGTAATAAGTGTTGCTTTCGTATTCTTATGTCGAGAAATTACGATGTTTTTACTTATAGCACTTACATACGTTGGCATTTCCAATCTATTTCGTTTTTTCTTTACCATTAATGGTTAGCTACTTCTATTTTTCCATTTATTAACATTAAATAACATTCTTTCTTTTTTTCATTGTTTTACTACAGCAACAACCAGGGTCTTATTTCTTTTGTCATTTGTCATGGGTGTTGTAAACATGGACGAAAATAATGCTGTCTCGTCTCCTCTTGTGTGTTTTAATATAATACGTATTATTAATGAATAAAGTGCCTTCATAAACAGTATTTAACGAATATAGTTTGCATTTTTCTTTAATTGTATTGTTTTGAGGGAAAAGAGGGTAAAAAGCCACACAAAAGTTATGAAGTGGTCACACTGGGGAATGCATCTCATTATTATTGCTTTATTTTAATGGTAATTAATGATTCATGGTACGATGATTCACTTTACATTGCAATATTGGAGGACACATTACCGTCGTTATTCGAGGCTTTACTGTCCTTAGTCAAAAGTGTTCACAAATCTATAAATTTTTTGGATGTGTATAATGAGGACTACCTGTGCAGTACTTTCTTTTAGACATTTGCACTTCTTTTATACTGTATGCTTTGAAAATGGAAGATAAGTACTGTAAAGGATTGTGCTCACCATGTATTAGTCTTCTCACCTTTCCTCTCTAAAGGCTTAGCTGGTAACTGGGGCTTGGTTCAATAGTTATTTCATGTACAGGATATGGAAATAATAAGAGTAACACCTCACCTTATCAGTCACTTAATAAGTACTGTAGGTGATAATCCACCTGTACCCAGATATATTCTGGGAATCAGTGTGGCAAACTGGTTTTATTTTTGAGTAACAAAAAATAGGAACTAATTGTTAAAAAATAAATGCTCTCAATTTCTGGATACAAGATGTCCTGGCCCTGCTAAAAGAGACTATACTCTCTAGTACAGTATTGTTAAAACTCTATGTATTCCTTGAGTTGTCTGTTTATAGCTTACTTTTATTTTTACAGGGTTGGACATACAAGGTGGAGGCTAGCTTTCTTGAGATTTACAATGAAACCATCAGAGATCTCCTTGCTTCACCAAAAGAATCTAAGAACCTGACATATGATATTAAGTTGACTGATAGCAAGAAAAATGACACTTTTGTAACCAATCTTAAGGTGAGCATTTACAAATTGCTTGTTTATATACTTTATATGATGTGGTTTTTATTTATAAATATTACGCTGATTAGTCCTGATAAAATTTAATGTTTTTGTATTATGTATAATACTGTAATTCTGAACATTAGGGACTGCATGAACGTTGTCATATGTAACCCCTGTACAACTGGTGAACTTATTAATACTCTTCACTCGGGGTTTAATTTGATTGAATTTATTTGGTCAAAATTCTTATAGTAAATGCATTCATGTGAATTTACTGAGGATAACACATAAAGTATTAATAATACAGTGAACCCTCACCCAACGCAGGGGTTAGGTTCCTCGAAAACGGCATGTTGGGCAAACTTAACTTCTTATGGCGAAAATGAGGTGGCAGGATCGTGGCTGCGTGTGGACTCTTATCACATAAAATGCATACCTCTTAAACATTTATATAATGCACAAATGTGATAATAATAGAACTAACATACCATAAAAATTTTTAAATATTAATGATAAGCATTATAAAATCATATTTTTGTACAGTCCTCACTGATCGATAGTTAGATTATTGTAGCGTAACTATAATGACAATGATATCGTAGTTGTTGTGAAGCCTTCTGATGACAAGTGATTGATGAAGAAGACTTCGATGATGATGAAACTGGAGTGATTTAGCCAATGGATCATCAGGATCATCGGCTTCAGGCTCCAGATCGACAGAAGATGTTAATGGTTGAGGTTCATAGAATTCTGGTTCGGCAGATGATGTTGATGGTTGGGGTGACCGTGGCCTCGAGAAGAAGTCTTATTTTCTGTTGTTTGCTTTTTCTATGCAAATCTTTCAAAATTTCTCTGTATGGCACAAATATCTTCAAGAGCCCTTTTGAACTTTAAACTTCTCTCTATTATTGGATCTATGTTGAAACACTTCTCACCAAGTTCAATTGCTTGCAGGGGGAATTCAGGGGTCGCCTTAATTTTTAATATTGGTTTTACGGTTCCACTTCAGTATCATCATCATCAATTTTAATGTAATCTGCTATAAACTTTTCAAGCTCCTTATTTGTTGGTTCTTGAAAATGCGAGTCCAACAGTTCATTCATCTCCTCTTACTGCATGTCATCAAAACTCTCACCTCCAATTGAGGTGTTGCCTGGAGAAACTAGCACAAACGCCACCCAGGCCACAATCATGTTATGCCTGCAAACGGTTCTTCAAACACCCTATTTTCCTGAGGTGATGGATGAAGTGCAAAAATGCCACTGACCATATGATTGAAAGTCCATAGACAAAAACCTAATTGTGGTCCACATCTCATCTCATCGAAGGTTAGGTGAGGTTAACAGTATCGTTTCAAAAAATTATTTGCATAATGTACAAGCATTTAGCTTCATTTTAAAACAAGCTTCAACATTCTAGCTAGAATACTTTCCGTGTTGTCAATTTCTGAATGTTGCAAACTTTTATTGCATTTCCTGACAAAAAATGAGAATTGTGCTTGTGCTAGTTTCTCCACGCAACACTTCAATTACCTTTGCATGTTTCCCAATTTCTGTGATTTCTTTGTAAACCGTTGGAAATCCCCTGAAATTGCGAACAATTTCAGGCCAAAGTTGGTGCCAGCAAGTATTCATGGTGGAAGGCTTCACTTCATCCCAAGACATTTTGAGAATGTCAATGCAGTTTTTTATGTTAAATGCCTTCCAGACATCCATTAGTGTTTCATATGCACTAGATCCATTGCTTCAGTTGCTTGCCTATAGACATTCCTGGTGTAATATGGCTTAAATGTCTTGATGATGGCTTGTTCCATTGGTTGCAGAATTGAAGTGGTATTGGGGGGCAAGAACATAGCTTCTCCATTGGGATGCGTGAACTGAAGCGTTTCTGCATCATGGCTTGGGGCATTATCCAACAATAGCAACACCTTTGAGTCAAAATTCTTCTTCATGAGGTATTCCTTGACCTCATACACAAAATGATTCTGCAACCAATCATTAAAAAGCACCCTAGTCACCCAGGCACTTTTTATTGGACTTCCAAACAACAGGCAAATGAAGCTTATTTTTACCTTTAAACGCTTGGGGATTTTATGAATGGCACACAAGCATGGGTTTGCATTTAAAATCACCAGCTGCATTCCCACAAAAAACAATGTCAGCTTGTCTTTGAAAGCTTTAAACCCTGGAGCAACTTTTTGGGCCTTAGTAATGTAGGTTTGGTTAGCCATACATTTATAAAAGAGGCCACTCTCATCAGCGTTAAACACTTGTTCCGGGACATATCCTTTGTCCTTGATCAATTCAAGCAGCATGGGCTTGAAGTGCTCTGCAGCCTCTTTGTCTGCTGATTCAGCCTCTCCCTGAAGCTTCACATTATGTAAAGCAAAGTGGCATTTAAGATTTTTAAATCACCCTTTGCTTGCTTGGAAATCAGTCACAGTGTCACTCCCTGCCCCCTCGGTTTTCATAACATAAGCATACAAAGTATGTGCTTTCTCACGTATTGCTACTCTATTGACAACAGATCCTTTCTTATTCACTTGTCCACTGGTCCAAACATTTAATAGTTTTTCCATTTTTTCTATGTACCGATCCCTCCTTGACACTTGAGCTAGATGCAGATACTTTCACACTTGTATGTATTTTGTCCTCACAACTGTGAATTGTGCATATGGTGGATTCATTTATAGAGTTCTCATGGGCAAGCGTTGCTACCCGGCTAATTCATCACTTTTCTAATTTTCTTGGGTGTGCTACCATCACTAGCATCACCTCTGCATTTGGGGCCATACTGCAAGGGCAAGCACACAAAAACACAAAAAGTTCCAAAACCTCTATAGTACAAGACTGAGAGATGAGCAGTTGCTGCTTGGCAGGTATCGCCAACTGGTGCCGCCTCCTCCCTCCGCTCCAGAGGGAGGAGGGTGGAGGCAGCGTGTTGTTAACCCGTTTATATACGTACAGTATAGTCAAAAGCGCGTTGGACAAACCAGCGTTGGGTGAGATTGTTCACTGTACAGCATGTAAGTAACCACAGGATTTGTCTTATGAATAAATAGAAAAATATACTGTACAGCACTATAAATATAAAAATAAGAACAAATAAGTGTAGGGGTGTATTGTATGTGGAAGACGAGTGTATATCTGGGAACAACAGGCAGAGAGGTGGGAAGGGGGGGTAGTGCAGGTTTGTGGCTCCTGCCCCCAAGATCCCTTTATCATGTCTTTATGTAATTTCACCATAATTCTCATACCATTTAGGTTCATTTGGTGACAAGTTGATAAAATATCCTAAAAGAACCAGCTTTCCTGGAAGAAGATTCCCACACTAAAGACCACGAATCATTAGTTTACAATGGGCAAGCAGCTGATAGGCTTAGCTCCTTTACCACTTAGTAAATTAGTAAAGTACATTAGTGTATTTATCATCACTTAATAAATACTATTGTAGTGTATTTATCATTACTTAATAAGTAATGCATCTAACATTTCTTACTTTTTTACCCAAATAAACCTGAATACTTTATCGAAAAAATTGGTTAAATAATAAAATAAAAAAATTCTATATGATTTGAACATAAATGGAGGTGTGTTTCAACAAAGACAGTGGAACTTTCCACTCTTCACAGGAAATTTCCCCGAGTCTAAATGATGCATCTCACAGGAGCTGTATTTTTTGCACAAACACCGCTGTACACGTACAATGTTGTCAATACACTAAGCCCTCGAAGATCCGTACCCAGTAAATTCGGATTTCGGAAGATTCGGACAACAAATTTTGGGGTTCTGGGCTAAGAAGCCTCATTGAGAAGCATTCCCTAAACAGGCTTAGAAGTTTTTATCTTATGAAATGTCACAGACTAAAGTTAACAGAATATAATTTACATTACTGGAATCCTTGTAAGACAGCGAATAATTTGAGTATAGACATCATATATTTTGCATGAGATAAATTTTTTAGACATTTAGTGTAGTGTACATTTGAGTACAAATGAGTACAGTAATATGTTGCTTAAAATTATGGCTTTTTCACAGGAAAAAGTGTGTATAACTAACCCCAGTAGTCTGGATAATATGTACTGTATTTTTTGGTGTTTTTTATATCATTAGTTATCGTTTTTATACCTTAGTACATCCACCGGAAGATTCGGACAATCGGCTTTCCCAGACAGGTGGTTCCCCCTTTTAGTCCAGACCTTCGAGGGTTGACGGTACTGTAAACAAAATAATGTATGCTACTCCTATAATGTACTGTATATACTGAACTGTGCTCACCAGTAGATGTTGTTGCCTTGAGCCTAGAGTAGGCAGACACTGTTCACTCTGCTGAGTGTAATACGTAACTGTAATCACATCTTAACATTTAAGATGGAGGTTGGTTGGGGGATTAGTGGGTCATGTTACTGACCTGGCCTGATGCAATATCAGGCCACCCATTGTCAGGGTGGGGGATTAGTAAGTCTTATGACCTGAAGATGCCTTATAGAGAGGAAATAAAAATTTGGAGGTGATTTTCCTCCGATTTTTTCAGAAAATGTTCCTAATTTTCAAACTCGGAATTTCTTCCCGAACCGAAAAAAAAAAATCCAAGAAAATTTCAATTCCAGCTATTGGAGAGGTCTGGCCAAGAGGGCTAACAGGATATTACTGTATAGATACAGTATATTTCTCACAGTGCATCAGTTTTCGAATCGGTGGACGAGGGGCACAATTATGATGTGGTATATCTCGACTTTAGTAAAGCCTTCGACAGAGTCCCCCACGAAAGACTAATTAGAAAGGTAGAAGCTCATGGCATCAAAGGTGACATCCTTAAATGGATTAGGGCGTGGTTACAGGACAGGAAACAGCGAGTGAGCATTAACGGCACTAAGTCCCATTGGAGCAACGTCACAAGTGGAGTTCCCCAAGGCTCAGTACTTGGACCATTATTGTTTATTATATACATAAACGACATAGATATCGGCATAGACAGCAACATAAGTAAATTTGCTGATGACACTAAAATAGGACGTGTTATCAAATCTGACGAGGACTCGGCAAAACTACAGGAAGATCTAAACAAATTTTTCGAATGGTCTGAAAAATGGCAGATGAAATTCAACGTGGACAAATGTAAAGTACTCAGTATAGGAGATGTAAACAGGGAAACCAGATACCAGATGAACAACGATGCCATAGAGAAATCCGACTGCGAGAGAGATTTAGGAGTAATGATAAGTAGGAACCTTAAGCCAAGTAAACAATGTGTTTTTGCTCGTAACAAGGCTAATAAAGTACTTGGGTTCATACAAAGGAGTGTTAGTTACAAGACTAGCGAGGTCATCCTAAAACTGTATCTTGCTCTTGTGAGACCACACCTGGATTACGCAGTTCAGTTCTGGTCACCGTATTACAGAATGGATATAGAATCCTTGGAAAGAATTCAGAGGAGAATGATAAGACTAATCCCGGGCATTAGGAACCTTGAGTATAGAGACAGGTTAAAGCATCTTAATTTGCACTCCCTTGAGAGACGTAGAGCGAGGGGCGACCTGATAGAGGTGTATAAGTGGAAGGCAGGGCTAAACAAAGGGGACATTACAAAGGTACTCAAATTATCCAACCAGGAGCGAACTTGTAACAATGGTTTTAAATTAGACAAATTTAGATTTAGGCGTGAGATAGGTAAACACTGGTTTGGAAACAGAGTAGTGGATGAATGGAACAAGTTACCAAATATCATCATTAACTCGAATACGCTGAATTGCTTCAAACATAGGTAGGATGCTCATATGAGCAATAGGGGTTGGGTGTAAACGGGACTGCCCAGTATGGGCCAATAGGCCCGCTGCAGTTTCCTCCATTGTTATGTTCTTATGTACTCTACATTAAAATTTGCAGCTTGTATGTATTTGTATATTCTCATAAGATGGGACACACACACACACACACTATTACTACTTACTACTTTGCTGTCATTCGGAATCGAGTATGACGATCATCCAGCTATGAAAAATTACATGAGTTATTAAGGATGTCACCTACATTGGTGAGTTCTGAAGTGACTAAAAAGGCCGATACAGGACCGGCTGGATCGGTCACATGTTGCACATGTGGAGGGTTACGTCTTGTGCAGGAGAGGCGGCATTGGCACTTGTCTGCCTCAGTATGCAATTAAGCTAATTCGAAAGTATTGACACCTTTTGTGGTGCTTTTCCAAGCGTTGCAGTATTGAGTAATCATCTCCCAGGTGAAGGGGTCAATTTGGCACTTTTTTAGGTTTGTCTTGCGACTATCCTTATACCTTTTCAGTTTCCCGCCAGCGTTACATTTACTATTCGTTAGGTGACTGTAAACTAGCTCCTTTGGTAGTCTACTGACTTCCATGCTGGTAACATGGCCAGTCCAGTGTAGTTGTTCATGGAAAATGGCAGCCTCGATGCTCCTACAGTTGGTGTCAGCGAGAATACTGGCATTTGTTCTCTTGTCTTCCCAGCGAACTCGGAAGATGGAATGTAGACTATGTTGGTGAAAGTTTTCAAGCGCCTTGAGGTGCTTCCTGTCCTGCGTGTGACCCATGTCTCACTGACACATAGCAGGGTGGGGAGGACCACTGCGTGATATGCGTGCTGCTTTGTAGATAATTTCAGCTCCCTATAGCTGACGACATGGGTTCGGAGTCTGCCAAAGGCTTAAGATGCACATCTGATCCGATGTGCCGAGATACCAAAAGTGGGTAACATTAGAGAGGGTAGTACCAACAAGCTGGATGGTTGGTGGAGGTGTGGCTGAACCAGGGGCAGGCTGAAAGAGAATCTGAGTCATAAGAACATAAGAATTTAGGAAATTGCAGCGGTCCTATTGGCCCATACTGGGCAGTCCCATTTACCGGTACACCCAACCCCTATTGCTCATATATCCATCCAACCTATGTTTGAAGCTATCCATCGTATTCGAGTCAATAATGATGTTTGATTACTTGTTCCATGCATTCACTACTCTTACTTCCAAACCAATGTTACCTATTTTGCACCTAAATCTAAATTTGTCTAATTTAAAACCATTGTTACAAGTTCGCTCCTGGTTGGATAGTTTGAGTACCTTTGTTATGTTCCCTTTGTTTAGCCCTAACTTCAATTTATGCACCTCTGTCATATCGCCCCTCACTCTACGTCTCTCGAGGGAGTACAAATTAAGATGCTTTAACCTGTCTCTGTACTCGTGGTTCCTAATGCCCGGGATTAGTCTTGTCATTCTTCTTTGAATTTTTTCTAGGGTTTCTATATCCATTCTGTAATACGGTGACCAGAATTGAACTGCGTAATCCAAGTGAGGTTTCACAAGCGGAAGATATAGTTTCAGGATGATCTCTTTAGTTTTGTAACTAACACTCCTTTGTATGAACCCAAGTATTTATTAGCCTTGTTTCGAGCAAATACTCATTGTTTACTTGGCTTAAGGTTCCTATTTATCATTCAGATTTCTCTTTAACATCGTTGTTCATCTGATATCTGGTTTCTCTGTTTACATCTCCTAGACTAAGTACTTTACATTTGTCTACATTGAATTTCATCTGCCATTTTTCAGACCATTCAAAAAATTTGTTTAGATCTTCCTGTAGTTTTGCGGAGTCCTAGTCAGATTTAATTACACGCCCTATTTTAGTGTTATCAGCAAATTTACTTATGATGCTGTCTATGCCGATATCTATGTCGTTTATGTATATAATAAATAATAATGGTCCAAGTACTGAGCCTTGGGGTACTCCACTTGTGATGTTACTCCAATCGGATTTAGTCTTACGTACATTCATCTCGAGGCCAAAGTGTGCCTATGCATCTGCATAGGTGTTCAGTGTGAGTGACAAGGTTGAGGTCGTCTGCATACTGAAGTTCAGTAATGCAAGCAATTGACACCTTTGTTCCTGCCTGGAGTCATCTTATGTTGAAAAGACCCTTCATCCGGTACTCAATGGCCACCCCGCCGGTTAAATTGGCACTGGCACAAGTAAGGAAGGCAGCCAAGAAAATGGGAAAAGAGAGTTGGTGCCAGTACACATCCTTGTTTTACTCCTGTTTACATGGGAAAGAACCCAGACTGGGTGCCTCTGTGCAGGACACTGCCGTTTATGCCATCGTGGAGTTGCAGCATAATTTTGGTTGGCAGCAAAAACGGCTGAGGGTCCACCAGCGGGCTTCCCTGTTGACCGAGTCAAAGGCCTTGGTTCGGTCGATGAAGGCCATGTACAGGTCATGACGCAGTTCTCTGCACTTTTCCTGTATCTGGTGGGCAACAAAGATCATGTCGCTGGTGCCTCTTAATGGTCTAAAGTCACATTCAGATTCTGGGAGGAAGTTTTCTACCTCAGGAAGCAGTCTGTTTAGGAGGACTTGAGTGATAATCTTGCCAGCTATGTACAGCAGCAAGATCCCACGGTTGTTGCCACAGTCTGACCGGTTTCCCTTGTTCTTATAAATATTGAAGATGGAGTCGTCTGTAAGAGCTTGGGGGGATTTCCTCCTTTTTCCATATATTCCCCAGGAGAGAGTGGAGACAGCTGGTATGCAGAGGTCATCCTGCTTTATACACCCTGGTTAGTATTCCATCAGGCCCTGAGGCTTTATTTTTCATCTGTTTGATAGCAGTAACTACCTCACCCAGGGATGGAGGAGGATAGCTGAGGTGGGTCAGTTCTGGATGCTAATGGACCTACTGGGTAGTCAGGACATCTACATCGGTGTTTCGGTTGAGCAGTGAATTGTAGTGCTCTTTTCAGCGCTGAAGGAGGCCTTCATCGTCTTTAATGAAGGAGTTACTGTCTGATGAGCGGAAGGAGCTGCGCCATGAGTGATTGGCCCATAAAATGTTTTAGTGGAATTGAAAAATTTGTGCATCTTGTGTTGATCTGCAAGTTTTTGTGTTTCACAAGCCTTATTTTTAAGCCAATCGTTCTTTAGATTGCGAAGTCCGCGCTGGGCTACCGCTTTCTTCTTGCGGAAGGTATCAGCTTTGTACACGCGTACACACACACACACACACACACACACACACACATACACATACACATTATTTTGTATAAATTTGTTGTTTTTGTCTATAAATTATTTGAGTTATTTGGGCATTATTAAATCATTATAGCAGTCAGATGTAAAACTTGTTTGGGCTCTTCTGGGTCTCAGGAATGGGACCTATTTTTCACTATAAGTTGTTATTAATAACCTATTGATATATGATGGATTTTTGAAGTCCCTAACCCCATTGTATAATGGTCAACACCTGTATCTGAGTTAAAAAAAATTACATGTATCTACCCTAAGTTTCAAGTGAAAAAATATTTTACACCTTATGAGAATTATTTCTTTTATTTTGTTTTTGCACTTTCTGTATGTAGGATTGTGTGTGTAACAGTAAGAAAGAGAGTGAGTGAGTGAGTTTTTGGAGTGCTTCAAAACTGGGATAAAATTTCTCTTCAAGTCTGGGAGAAATATAGCAAAGCAGTGCAAAACAAGGTCATTCTAAGTGGAATATTACTGTACTGTGCTATGATTTTGGTTTATGCTTGGAACCACTTCTTGACCTTTATGTGCTACCCTTGTTATTATTTTCCAGGTTCTGGAGGTAACAAATGAAAATAAAGTGCACCATCTGTTACATTTAGCACAACAGCAGAGAGCAGTAGCTGCAACCAACATGAATGAGCGATCTTCACGCTCTCATTCTGTCTTCCGCCTTAAGCTGATTGGAACAAACAGCAAAACTACTGAGTCATGTGAAGGTGAGGATATTTTACTCTTACACACACACACACAGATATAGAGAGTGATAGATAGATATATAGATAGAGAGTGAGAGAGAGAGAGAGACCACCGAGTTTCCGGCATTCACTGGTCCGGAACCTCTGATGGGTTAGACAGTTTTACGGTGGTGGCATTTCAAATTTACTGCCCACCCTGAGAAGTTTACTGAGCTGCCGCTGATGTTTTGGTGGCACTACAGTGGGGGTATGCTATAACGAACGGATCCTACTACGAATATTCCTATAACGAATGTTTTTACCGATAAAATTGAGAATGCTATAACGAACGCAACTCCTACAACGAACGAGGATGAATATGGGACTATTTCGCCTGGCGCATGAATATTGTTGTACCGCGACCCACAACAAGAGCGTCAGGCTCCATCTTTGTCTCATTGTGTAGCCAGTGCACCACTGTTATTGTTGAAATTTCGTCTTTTGATGTGGAAATAGAGTTATTTGTATAAATATTTTGTTGTACAAGTGTACAATTGTAACAATGAATCGTCCAAGCGAGTGAGAAAGCTCATAACTCTTGAAACTAAGAAAGAAATCATAAAGAAACGTGAGGATGGAACAGGTATTGCGAAACTTAGTGATGAGTATGGGATGGCTAAATCGACTATATGTACGATTTTAAAGAATAAAGAGGAGTTGAAAACTGTGCAAGTGGCTAAGGGAATCTCTAGACATAGTAAAGCAAGGTGTAATGTGATTGAGGAGACGGAAAATTTACTCTTAGTGTGGATAAAGGAGAAAGAAATGGCAGGTGATAGCATTAGTGAAGCTATAATTTGTGAGAAGGCCAGACAGTTGTTTGAGGACCTTAAAGCCAAGACTCCCAGTGCAAGTGATAGTGATGTGCCAGTGTTTAGGGGTACCAAGGGGTGGTTTACTGGTTTCAGAAGGAGAAATAAATTACATAGTGTTGTGAGACATGGTGATGCTGCTAGTGCAGATAAGGAAGCAGCTAAGGAACACCATGACATTTATTTTTAATGTGATTCAAGAGGGAGGCTTTGTTTCTCAGCAGGTATTCAACTGTGATGAAACTGGACTTTTTTGGAAAAAATGCCTCGCCGTACATACATTACCAAGGAGGAAACTTCTGTCCCTGGCCATAAGCCAATGAAAGACAGGCTTACCCTCCTTCTTTGTGCTAATGCTTCTGGTGACTGCAAAATAAAGCCACTCCTTGTGTACCATGCAGAAAAACCCAGAGCTTTCAAAAACATTAGGAAGACCCGGATTGGTGTTATGTGGCGGTCAAACCCAAAGGCTTGGGTGACCAGGAATTTATTCTCTGAGTGGGTGATTGAGGTGTTTGGACCTAGTGTTCGGGAATACCTCATGGAGAATAATCTTCCACTGAAAGCTTTGTTGGTGATGGACAATGCACCAGCCCACCCTCCTAATTTGATGGTTGAATTGCCAGAGGAGTTCAACTTCATCACTGTGCACTTCTTGCCACCCAACACAACACCTCTCATCCAGCCCATGGATCAACAGGTAATTTCTAACTTTAAGAGGCTGTTCACAAAGGCACTGTTTAGAAAATGTTTTGCGTCCACTTCTTCCAGTGATGTTAGCTTGAAGGAATTTTGGAAGTCACTTCAATATAGCAGATGCTGTGTTTTTAATTACCTCAGCCTGGAAAGAGGTTACTATGAGGTGTCTTTGTGCTGCTTGGAGGTCATTGTGGCCTGAATGTGTGCTTCAAAGAGACTTTGAAGGCTTCGAAGAGTTAGAAGAAGAGGCTGTTGTTCATGAAATTGTGTCTCTGGGCAATTCCATGGGCCTGGAAGTGGATGATGATGATGTTGAGGAGTTGGTGGAAGAGCACAGTAAGGAACTGTCCACTGAGGAGCTGCTTAAGCTTCACAAAGAACAAAACGAGACACTGAAGCGGAGCTTAACTTCTGAGGAGTCAGGGGAGGATGAGGACAAGGAGGAAAGCTGCATCATTCCAGCCGAAGATCTCAAGGATGCGTTCTTTTGCTGGAGCAAACTGTCCAAACTTGCTGAGGATTACTATCCTGATGTTGGTTCCGTGCAAAAGGCCATCAGTGTGTTTAATGACAATGTTATGAACTACTTTTGGAAGGTCCAGAAATCAAGGTTGAAGCAGCCAACCTTGGATTCCTTTTTTAAAAAGGTAACAAAAGAACCTACAGACAAAGTGCCTGTAAGACAGTCACCAAAGAGGGCTAGGAAGGATGACTCCTCTCCTTCCACCTCTTCTCCATAATTCTCTCCTCCCCCCTCCCCCTCTGCCTCCTGTCCTGCATGCTGAACAACACTAAGGTAAGATAAAGTACCGTATTTTTTACATTTTTCACAGAATTTTTTCAGTGTTAAGTGGTTGTATTTGGGGGCCTGGAACGGATTAATCCTATAACGAACGAGGTTCTAGAACCAATTAGATTCGTTATTGCATACCCTACTGTACTAGTTAACTGCCCTTTCTCAAAGCTTGCTTACATGCAGCATTGCAGCAGCTTTGTACCTTCACTGTTTTTTGGTAATACAACCCTAAATATGGCTTTAAAGAAAACAGTAAGTGTCTGTGGTGTGAAACGTAAACACCATTTGTTATCAATACCAGAGAAAGTAGAACTTCTGAAGAAATTTGAAAGTATTGTGTCGGTGTGAACCTTGTGTGATGTTTATGGTGTTGGTTTGTCAACCATATATGACAGGCATGGGCAACCTTTCCTCAGTCATGGGCCATACTACGATTTAGGTATTTTTCTGTGGGCCAACCCACCAAAATTTATATCCTACCTAACCCAAAAGTAATGTTAATATCGTATTAGCACGTACAGTGCTAATATACTGTATATTGTTTGTCCAAATATGAACTATCACAGTGGCAGAGGTGGCAGTTATTCTGGTAGATTTGGTTATTGTGTTGAAGAAGAGCTTAGAATGACAGGTAGCAAGGTCTATTACTGAGGTGTCAGCATCTGAATTTGAAAGATCAAGGTTGAAATATGTAATGTAGCAAAGTTTCCTCTCTGAACTTATGATAGAGATAAGCTCCGATAATTTATCAAGAAAGTTCTTTCATGAGATTACTCCTACTAGGATATTTCGCGTATCATTACGTAATTCAGTCAAAACACTCCCCATGAACTCCTCCTGAACCTTTAAATCATCTCTTACAGAAGTGTTACACTTAATATCAACATATAGAGCGATGCCACCACTGTGTCGTGACATATTGACACGGTGTCTATTATAATTAGGGATGTTATACAGTACAAATGTTCAATATCATGAGTGAGTTTGGTCTCACAGAACCCAAGTACAGGGCGCCCCCCACATGTGCGGGTACAGGTTGACAACCCTTTTTCCGAAAACCGAAAGTTTTTTTTTGTGGACCCAATTTTTTTTTTCTTTCTTTTTTTTAAGCAGGGATTAGCCCACCCAGGCATAGATCATTGACCCACATCGGGGCCTGGGGGGCGAAAATGTAATAGTAATAATTAATTATAATAATAATTATTCATAGTAAATAAAATTTTTAATGAAAGATACACCAAAATAAAATAAAAATAATAATAATAATAATAATAATAATAATAATAATAATAATAATAATAAAATTAATAATAATAACAATAATACTGTATTAATAAAATAATAATAATAATAATAATAAGGAAATACAAGAATGGAAAAAAAGATAAAAAGTGAGAAACATGACCTAGACCTATGAATTATTATTATTATTATTATTATTATTATTATTATTATTACTATTATAATTATTATTATATTTTTGCCTCCCCAGGCCCCAATGTGGGTCAGTGACTTAAAAAACTAACCATTCTGAAAAACGAAAAATTACGAAATCCGAAATGCCTCTGGCCCCAAGGATTTCGGATAAGGGATTGTCAACCTGTATTAGGTTCTCAAAATGGCTGCGAATCGCCAAATCTTCGAATATCATTTGCTGACACACACACACACAAAAACACATACAAATAAATAATAATGGGAAAAATACTCTCACATTGACTGGTTCCCTATCTGAGAGGAGGGGGGGGGAGTTACAGCGGGTGGGTGTTCACTTGCCCGAGAGTCCCTCACAACAAGAGTTTTCTGGCTGAATGTCATGTGTTTCCCATGTTTCTTGGCTTCTTTAAACTTGTCCATTTGCTGTTGGCGGATTTTAGTCATACCTGGGCATAGGTCCTCGTTGACAAAGATAGTAGTGCCTTTCAGCTTACTACGCTGGTAAAAGATTTTGTCACAGACAGAAGGGGAAGAGAACTTTGTTATGATGTTGCAGGGGCTGGAGGAGTTGGGTTTCCCGACGCATTGAACAAAGTCAAACTTTCCTTCAGTAAGATTAAAATGCTCATTCAGCAGCCTTGAAATTTTGCGCTAGGATGACTCCCAGTTCTCGTGGAGATCTTGGGGGACTCTGGCAAACCTGAGGTTGTTTCGCCGCCTTATGTTGTCCACATAATTCACCCGGTCTGCTGTTCTCGCTAGTTCCGTTTTAAGCTTGGAGTTCTCCTTGCTCAGCTGTTGAACTTGGGTCCTGAGTGTTCGGTTCTCTTTTGTTTCAACATTCAACTTTGCTTTTAAGTTGCTAATTACCCCATGCGAGAATTCCAAGCTTCATGTAACATCACTTAGCTGGTTAGTGAGACGCTGGTCAGCTTCCTCTAGTTTCCCGATGATCTTCTTATTCATTTGTTGTATGATGTCCTGTATGAGAGTTCATTGGACTTCCATTATCACTTCATCCAGCACTTTTTTTGTGAGATTTGAATTTTTTATACTAGCAGTCAACTTAGACATATTGGAGCTAGTGAGAAGAGTGTAAGCTGGCAGTAGAGAGTCGGCCAAGTTGTGTGGTCAGCTGGGGTGTCCTGCTTGGTGGGATGGTGGGGTGGCCACTATTGAACTAGGGATCAGATTACAAGCTGTGGCACTGTGGGGAGTCACAGAGACATAGATTCACCTGTAAATTGACAAAAATATCCTGTAGGGGCATCACAGGTAGATATTGTACTGGTCACGTCATGCACTTGTCACTCGCGAATTGGATTTTCTAGGAGTCAGACTGGGTACTTCCGGAATGACCCTGTTTTTCGACGAAAAATGCAGAGCTCAACACACGTCCCACCAACACCACTGTGAGTAGTGTTGGAGTGTGTGTGTGTGTGTGTTTGTTTGTTTGTTTGTTTGTTTGTTGGAGGGTGTCTGTGTGTGGTTGTTGGAGGGCGTGTGTGCGTGTAATGTGTGGGTGGTGTTGGAGGGTGTGTGGGTGGTGGTTGTTGGAGTGTGTGTAGGTGGGTGGGTGGTTGTTGGAGTGTGTGCGGGTGGCTGTTAGAGAGTGTGTGTGTGTGGTGTATGTAGTACAGTGTGGGTAATGTTGGTGTGTGTGCAGCACAGTGTGGGTGGTGTAGGCTGAGAGTGGGGGGAGTCAAACCTTTTTGAGGGGGGAAGGTCATGTGGTCAGTCCCCTCACTCAAGCATGGCTAATTGTGATAAGGAGATGAATTTGATACTATAATGATCCTTAATAAATTCTCTACTAGACGTTTCCAATAAGATATCTTAAACGAAATATTTTGATATATAATGACAGGATTTCCATTCTTTTATTTATAAAAAACGTAAGAAATGTTGATACTGTGCTGGAGTCAATAAAACCAGTTCTAATTTTGTTACACCATTTTTTTATCAAAATAGTCCTGAATACTTTATCTAAAAGTTTGGTTAAAAAAAATATAGTTTAAAAACAAAAGCTCTATATGATATGGGCATGAATTGAGCTGTGCTACACCAAAGAGTGTGGTTTTTTCCAAAAGTAAATGATGCAGCTTGTAGGAGCTGTAGTTATTTATGCAAACACCATTGTACAAGTAACACACATTTAGTAACTGTTGCTAAATTTGAGGGAAGATCACAACAAATTCAAAAGGACTCTTCACATCTCAAACAATTACTGAGACACAACCATTGGGAAAATTAATGTTGAGGTTTTTGGCAGCACATCTTTCACTCTTACAATGAAAGCCAAAATAGATTATTTTTCCATATTAGTCAGGTTTTTTTCAGAACTTGATAGGCGCTTCTCAGAAAACATGCACTTTTTGACAGCTATTTCGTCCTTTGACTGCAATTCAAGAGACTTTTTAGAATTAGGGAAACTTAATTCTGTCACACACTTGTATCAGAGCATTGGTGTGGATGAAATCCTTTTACTTTCCCAAATTTCTGTTGCCCCAAGACAGTTTTCTAACAAAAGTGGAAAGTCAAAGAATCTAATTCTTTGACTTTGATTTTAATTATGAAGTTACCATCAGATGAGCAGAGGGGGGCTGAACCACTAGTGACTGGCCCACAAAATGTTTTGGTGGAAATGAAAAATTTGGGCATCTTGTGCTGATCTGGAAGTTTTTGTGCTTCACATGCTTTATTTTTAAGCCAATGGTTCTTTAGCTTGCGAAGTTCCCGCTGGGCTGCCGGTTTCTTCTTGTGGAAGGTATCAGCTTTGGTCCGAGACTGAGGGTTGTTCTGCCAGTCAGCAAAAGCAGTACGTTTATCATCGATGAGTACGTTGATTGTCGGGTCATTTTCATCAAACCAGTCCTGGTGTATTCTTTTGATCCGGCTGAGGGCCTCATTGCAGGTTTTTGTCATAACACACACACAAACACAGTAGAATTCCAGTTATCCGGGCAACATTCATATTCAACTAATCAACACCAAAATGAAATAATAAAAATAAAAATTCCTCCAAAATCAGCTAACATCGTAAGTACCTCACACAACAGGGATCAGCTGCCATATTTTATGTACAAAAAATAAATTCTTCAACACTTAACTTATCCTCTGTGTGATGCAACCCACTTCAGCCAAGAAATCAACCAGCTGACTCAGCCAAGTGGCTGCCTTTCTGTGTTGTTTGAATGCTATGACATCACATTGGGAAAAGTGGCCACGCAGTTATAGCCCACTGCCTCAACACACATTCACTTAACACATGAGCACACTGATGATCTTCATTTTTCTTATTTTATAGTTTTGTATCTTATTTTCTTTATTTTTGAGCCACATTAGAGTACCCTGTAATGTAACGATTTTATTTTTAACTTTTTTTGTCAAACGAGCATGAACAAGTGATGAACACACCGAGCTGGCGAGAGATGCTGAGTGGGTTGGCTCTTGCAAGAGCAAGACCCAAGCATGAGAGCAGTTCAAGAGGTCAGATGTGTATAAGCAAGGTCACGTACTATGGATGCGCATAATCTGCTACCCTACTGTGTACAGTATTTCTTTTAGCTACCTGTTGGATGACACTGTGGCTTCCTCCGATCACAAAAATTATTCCTGTAAATTTTATGTTGAATACCACTGTGGCGTCCTTTGATCCCAAGAGTGTACCAGTGTACCTGGTCCAATTTCTAGTATTCTCCCCATTTATAGAGTATGAACCTCTCATGTATTCTTAAAGGTTTTTATTAACTGCTCCCTCTCCTCTCATTTCCCTCCATCTCCCTTCTCCCCTTCCTCTTCATCTTCCTGCATTCAACAAGGTTTTCACAGATTTGATGGTAAAGTTGCATTATTCTGCATTAAATAGTTAAGCTTAATTCACTCTCAACAGAATGGTGTAGAACAAGTGAGTGATGACTATTATAACCATTATTTTTACAGGAACTTTGAATTTGGTTGATCTTGCTGGTTCTGAGCGCCTGAAGGAATCTGGTTCAGAAGGGGCTAGGCTGACGGAAACACAGAACATAAACAAATCTCTCTCAAACCTTGGTAATGTCATCATGGCTCTAGGACAGAAGGTATGTCATTCTTGTACTTGGTTTAAGTTCAATGTATTGACAGAATTTTGAATTAGTGTATGTTAGTATAGCTCAGATTATGGATATACAGTAAAGCCTCGAATAACGACGGTGTAAGGTGAATCATCGTATTGTGAATCATTAATTACCATTAAAATAAAGCAATAATAATGAGATGCATTCCCCAGTGTGACCTTTCCATAACTTTTGTGTGGCTTTTTACCCTCTTTTCCCCCCAAACAATACAATTTATGAAAAATGCAAACTGTATTATTTAAATAATGTTTATGAATGCACCTTATACAATATAAATCAATAATAATACGGTCACCCAAGAGGAGATGGGACGTTATTGTTGTTGTCAGTGTTTACACCCATAATGTCAGTTACCCATCTGAAACAAGAAAATAAAACCCTGGTTGTTGCTGTAGTAAAATTAATGTAAAAAATAAGGATGTTTTAATTAATGTTATTTAATGTACAGTAAAGGTAACCACTGATGTTAAAGAAAAAAAATGGAGTTACAGTGGAGCGGCAATGTATACTTGCGCCCTCAAGGAAACCACGTCATTTATCTTATTAAGAATATGTGCAAAAGATTCATTATTGTTTACTACTGAATATGTATTTGATTGAATTAATGTTTATATTTGCAAATTTAACAATACAATTCATTAACAATACATAGAATATTGAAACAATAGAAGTAACTAACCATTAATGGTAAACAAAAACGAAATCGATTGGGAATGCCATCGTCTGTAAGTGCGTACATGTGAAAACATCGTCATTTCTCAACATGAAAATAACACTTATTACTGTTCATATATGTTTTAAATAATACTTACTAATATAAAACAAAAATTCTACTCACAAATGGTGGTAAAGTCTAAAACATTAGGACAGCCAATGAATATTGTGCGAGTTTTTACTCAGATGACGAAGTCATCAGGTTCACCTCTGGCTGAAGCTGAAGCTTTCCATAAAGATGTCAAAGCTGTTGCTGAAACTGTAACTGAACCTGAAGTTTTTGCTGAAGGGGCTTATGATGCTAAATTTGATGGTGTAGCTGAAGTTGATGGTTTAGGCATTCGAATAATAAAGCTGTCGAAAGAACCTTTCACAACTGCTTTCTTTTCTCAATACTGAATACATCTTTATGTAGAGGTCATATGTGTTTTTCACGTCCCTGTAAATTTTAATGCTTCTTTCTGATAATGGATCCACTTCAGAAAATATGTTCATTGCTTGCTCTATATAATATCCACAGACCTCTCACCTTTTTCATAACGTTTTGACACATCTAGTTTCTCGGCTAAGCTTATACACTTTCTTTTAGCTTTTGAACCAGCACTACCATCACTTGCTCTCTTGCTCATGTTGACTAGGGACACAAAATATGCCGTGAAAAACCTGAATGGTTTTTTCCTTTTCGTGTTCAGATGCGTGAAAACAAAAGGTCCTCCAAGTTGCGACTGTTTATACTAATGATGCTGGCGTCACCACTCACAAGCCTGGCAGCGACCGTGCACAAGGCATTTTTTTTTTACAGTACAAATTGAAATTTAGTTATTATTTATGTGAAAATTTTATTTTACTTTATTTTTATAACATTTTTGTCGTAAATACGAAAAAAGTAATGGTGTAAATTGAATTGGGTCCTAACTTAACCAGGGTCTTAAATATGAACCTTCGTTAGTAGAACCGTCGTTATCGGAGGCTTTCCTGTAATGGACAGTACACGTACTGCTTGATTTACAGTATGAAGAAAGTATTTTTGGAGCCTAACACTAAATCTCATTGTTCACAGCAAAGCCACATCCCATACCGGAACTCCAAGCTGACTCACCTTCTGCAGAGCTCTTTGGGTGGTAATTCCAAAACTCTTATGTTTGTTAATGTCTCTCCATTAGAGATGTGTTTTAATGAGACATTAAATTCACTCCGCTTTGCCACAAAGGTCAACCAGTGTCATATTGGGACAGCATCAAAGCAGGTTAGGAAATGAAAGTAACCCATTCACTGTGTAAATATTTTTGGTATACTGTACTGAACTTTTTTTGATGTCAGGAAATAAATGTGAAAATTAAAGGGCCAATTAAAGTGGTATGGGATGGAATGGGTGATAACTGAAATGATTTTATATTACCCATCCAGATTATTGACTAAAATGCTACTTATGATAAAGAGGTTTGTACATTGCTGTATAAATTGGTTTTTCAAGCTAGAAAGATATGATTATATTTACAATGGTGTTGTTTGAATGCTAATGGTTTAACTCTTGCTTTAATGCCTTTGGTTAACCACACCACAGAAAAATATTAGCTTAGAAATTTGTGCAATTGAGAAGTTACAATAGTTTGGCTCTTGTACTGTCCCATCATTCAGCAGTACATAAGTATCATTGTAAAGAATATCTTGTTTGACTCTAGTTCTTAGTGAGATAAAAGTTTATCTACTCTTGTTGTTGGAGGTGAATGATGCCATTGTTAAATATAAGCGAAAAGTATGACTTCAAATTATTTTTAGGAGAAGGACATATTGATACTGATAGGCAGTGCCAGGCTGTGTAATATTTGGGACCATGCGAAGAGGAATACTGTACTGTAATCAAATTGAAGACATGTATTACAGCAATAAGAATGAATGAAAGATAGCAAATGGACAATTTGTGTGGGTTTATTTTCTTATAATTTGCCCACCAAGTATTATATATATCATGCCTTTTATTGGGAAGATTTCCTAAATGGAAGGGTTTCCTTTTTTCCTCCATCAAAATGATAATGAATATTGTAACAGTACTGTATATAGAAATTCAGTGTACCTTAATCATGGGCATTTAGAGCTAGCCTAAAGGTGTCAGTGTAACACAGATATTGAGGATAAAATAAACAAATTTGTGACAATGTTTGCAGGATGATGCCAAACAACATACTGAGTATAGGTTAAACACAATATTTCTTCTAGGTACCACTACCAAAGAATGAGTGGATAGTGGTTAGGCCTGTGGGTGGAGCTTACATCATCCACCCTCCTAGTTGCCACCAGACACCATTGCAGTACACGCCAGTGCATCGTGGCATGGCTTTGAAAGATGATGTGTTTGATGCATCTGGCACATTTGTAGAAATTTCGCAGTTTGAGCAATGTTCAAACTTGAAAATTTTTTTTTAGCTTGCCAAGATAGTAAAAGCAACACACAACTTGCTTGTAATGGCTCCTGCAGATGAAGCTGGGAGTAAGAAGGCTGTTTTCAAGTGGTGTCGATACAATTCATTTCCTTCCCGAAGGCATTGAAACCACTTCATTCTGCATAAACTGCTAAATGCATGGCGTGTTGCTGTTTTGCCAGGCTTAAAGCACACTTTATTGAAAGCTATTCATTTTTTTTTAAATTCATGTTATTTATTTTTAATAGGATTTATTTATTCCATAGTCTTGGTTAAACAGGTTGATTTTTTAATCTTCGTATAATTAGTGACTGACACTCACCCTGACCCATCGGAAATCAATTTCCAGTTTAAACTGCATAAATTTAAATTAACCCCTTGTATGGGGGGGGGGTCTCTGTGCTGAATAAAATTGTCTGGTGTTAGCCAAATAAAATATAAAAAATGGCATCCCCATAGTGGAGATCGTTTCTTAACGCCTTGTGTACAGTATTGGCGTCTCCCTGTGCTGAATAAAATCTTTTGACGCTGGCTAAATAATAAATCAAAAGTTGCGTCCCTGTAGTGAAGAGGATAACGTCTTCGTTAAAAATTCTCTTAGTGGTGTTTAGATTTATATTTAGCTTCTTATTAGCTGGTGAGTTTATATTAAGAATAATAATTTATGAAATACTGTACAGCCGCCTCTCGTTTTACACGGGGCTTACTTTCTTTAAAATCACTGCTTAATTAAAAAACGCGTAAACTAAACAGAATTTTCTCATAAGAATACATGTACTGTGAATGGTACAGGTTTTGGGAACCATCATATACCGTTCAAGTTACGAACAGTGCACTCACTTACACCAAGCACGCGGCCAACCTCAGGACATACTCTCCTCTCTGAAGGCGGATGATCACAATTAATTTCACGTTCATTGCAATTGTTTTTTGTGCTTTTTTAGCTGTAGGCACCCCAAAGGAGGCAGATGGATGTTTTCCAGACACGCTCAATGGGGAAAACAGCGATTAATACTAAGAAGGTACGTGATAAACACACAATGCAAATAAAAGCACAGAGAAAAAGTAGTGCTGGTGTGAACTGAGAAAGCGATACGCGGGAAGCTTGCTGGACGTCATCACAGTTGTTGTACAGAATACTTCATTATCATTATTACCTTCATCATTAGTAGTAATCTTTATTATTACATTATTATAATAATTATTATCATTAATAATAATATTAAAATCGTTGATGTTGATATGTCTGCACTTTATAGAAATAACTTACAAGCACCTCACCAGGCATCGCATGCAACTTTGCTGCCAGGCGACCAGGCGAATACCCGTGGCAAATTTAAACTGTCATGAGTGCATTATTTCAAAAATTGGTGTGCGTAAATTAACTTTTGGTATTAATTGAACAATCGCGTTATTCCCAAAACGCTTAAATCAAACGCTCTTAAAATGCGAGTTACCTGTATATAGGTTTTGTAATACCATAAATTGTGTGTATGGTAAATATTGTACTGTATTATTGTTTAATATTTATGTAAGCTCAGTGAGATGTTTGGTACCATCCTGAAAACACAGCAAGTTGCACTAAATCTGTATAGCATGTTCCAACATGCACCAACTGTCTATTTGATCAATAGTGGACACTGTTTCCAGTACTGTACCAGACAAAGAGATGCCTATTAATTATTGGGAATATCTGGTATTGAGAATTCCATTATTGAAAGCATTTACTGTATACATATATAACCTCCCATTAGTGGATGGGCTTCAGTTAGCTATTGTTGTCCACTATTGGGGAAGCATCACGGATGAAATCCTCTGGTATGAGGTCTTTTCTTTCATCATGTTTTACACACAGTCTGATGTATGCTAAATGAGAAAGTTTTATTGTGCAGTACAGTACTTCTGTTGATTGAGTCATAGAATTGATGCCTGAGTGTATTCTTTTTGGGAGACTTTAACACAGTCAGAACCTTTTTATGTGCAAATATCATTCTCATTCACTAAAATGTGCACAAAAATGCTATCATCATGACCCAGTAAAGAACATATTGCATTGTAGAGTGTTGTGGTACCATTACTGAATGCATGAAACAGTGCCACAGAAGTAAGAGTTGGCTCAAAAAATTAAAGGGATTAGCTTTAGTTAATAGAGGGGTTGGATTGCTTTTTTAGATTGATAAAGTTTTAATTGGTTTAATGATAAAACTTAATGAAATCCAGGATGGCATAGCTGAGTTAGGTACATAGAGCTGTAAGAATCCTTGAACCTACTGTTACTTGCAAGATTGAGTTATGTCCTTTGGGCTTACTCCAAGACCCTTTCTCCAGGTGAACACTTGAAGGGATTTTTACGGGACATTACTCTATGGCCTGGCTTTTTTTCCTCAGTTAGTTATATTACTCTTATACTGTATTATCATATTGCTTATTCCTCCTGTAATGTGAATCAGTGAGTCATTAGACCTGCATTATAATGCAGTTATGGAAATCCTAGTCATTGAGATTTCTAGAACATTAGTGACCTTAAATGATATAGGTATATTTTAAGAATGGGATAAGTTGCCCCATATTCAGGACAAATTGCACTACTGCATTAATTTTTTAATTTTTTATTTTTTTTTTATATACAGGGTATATATATATATATATATATATATATATATATATATATATATATATATATATATATATATATATATATATATATATATATATATATATATATATATATATATATATATATATTTAATTTATTTATTTAAAACTGGTTTTACATTTTCTGAAGAATTGGGATCTTGTTGAGTGAGAACCGGAATTGGGTTCTGTGAGAGCATTTATCTGGCTAGTACTGCATCAGGTAGACAGGTGTTAGATTTTTGCACATTGGGGATGATTTAATTTTGTGTCCTTTGGACTCTTTCTTAGTTTCTTACTTGGATGATTATGGCTGAGTCTGAAATTCTATCTGAAGAGTGAGCCACCCCCCAAGTTTTTTATTAAAAGACATTTATTTTTTGGCATAGGAGAAAGATGACATTTCTTTGTCTGGTGAAATGATTGTGAATATTTTGCAAGGTGATTTAACCATCCAGCAGATGATTCTTTAGATGTGATGAGAGAGATGTGTAAATTGTATATTACAGTAGTGGCGGGTTCAAGACTGGGATAAAAGCATTCAACTAATGTATCATTTAAAATATTCTAAAGGTTTAAATCCAGACACCCATGATAAAACTTGACTTATGTAGTAATTATGTATATGGCAGTGTAATTTTGTAAGCCATTTACTGATCATTTTGGGAAGAAGAATGATATAAATTGAATACTTTCACACTATAGTTCATGGTTTGTTTGATTTTATCAGAAATTATGTCTCAAATGAGTTTTGACTTAATGATATTTTATCCTACCTGTATGGTTAATTGCTGAACCAGGCAAAATTGGAGATTAAAAGGTAACATTCTTAGGTATTTTGGGACCAAGACTAACAAATAAATGGCTCAGTGCATGTCACAGCAAATAACTCCCTATCTTCCCTGCCTGATTACAGGATCAAACCTGTGTCACAAGGATTGAGAATTAAGTGTTACCAAACATATGAAATTAGTCTTTTTTTTTTGCGCTATGATATATATTTTTCTTCATTTTGTAACGTCTTGCTCTAAGCAAACTCTTCTTGATTGGGGTTGCCACATACTGTACTGTACAGTGGTCCCTCGATTAACGAACACAATTGGTTCCACAGAGTCGTTTGTTAACTGAATCTATTATTTCAATGGGATATTGGGTAATTGGTTCCAACTCACAGAAAAAGTACATACAAAGTATTTTATACTGGTAATAGAATTAACAAAACATTAAATATAAACTAAATACAGTACTGTACTGTACAGTATAATGTATAATAATAAATAAAAAACAATAGAATACTATATTTTAACTTACTTTGAGGTGTGTATGTCGTATTCCCGGCAGCTTTGTTTACATATCTAACAGCTGATTGTAGAGGCAGTCGATGATGACATGCCATATTCATAAGAATAATAATAATTTAAGAATGGAGGAAACTGCAGCGGGCCTATTGGCCCATATTGGGCAGTCCCATTTACACCCAACCCCTATTGCTCATGTGTCCATCCAATCTATGTTTGAAGCTAACCAGCGTATTCGAGTTAATGATGATAGTTGGTAACTTGTTCCACTCTTCCACTACTCTATTTCCAAAACAATGTTTACCTATTTTGTGCCTAAATCTAAATTTGTCTAATTTAAAACCATTGTTACGAGTTCGCTCCTGGTTGGATAGTTTGAGTACCTTGGTAATGTCCACTTTGTTCAGCCCTGACTTCCATTTATACACCTCTATCATATCACCCCTCACTCTACGTCTCTCGAGGGAGTGCAAATTAAGATGCTTTAACCTGTCTCTGTACTCAAGGTTCCTAATGCCCGGGATTAGTCTTGTCATTCTCTTCGGAATTCTTTCCAAGGATTCTATATCCATTCTGTTATACGGTGACCAGAATTGAACTGCATAATCCAAGTGAGGTCTCACAAGCACAAGATATAGTTTTAAGATGACCTCGCTAGTCTTACATTGCTTATTACATGTACTGTACTACTAAATCTTTCTCGCAGTCGGATTTTTCAATAACTTCGTTGTTCATCTGGTATCTGGTTTCCCTGTTTACATCTCCTATACTGTGTACTTTACATTTGTCCACATTGAATTTCATCTGCCATTTTTCAGACCATTCAAAAAATTTGTTTAGATATTTCTGTGGTTTTGCGGAGTCCTCGTCAAATTTAATTACACGCCCTATTTTAGTGTCATCAGCAAATTTACTATGTTGCTGTCTACGCCGATATCTATGATCCAAGTACCGAGCCTTGGGGAACTCCACTAGTGACGTTGCTCCAATGGGATTTAGTGCCGTTCATGCTCACTCACTGTTTCCTGTCCTGTAACCACGCCTTAATCCATTTTAGAATATATTTCCTTTAATGCCATGTGCCTCCACTTTTTTATTAGTCTTTTGTGGGGGACTCTGTTGAAGGCTTTGCAAAAGTTGAGATATACCACATTCTTTACAGAGTGCATTGGTTCTAATGCCTTCTTCATATTTCATAATAATTTCTGCACTGTATATTATCAATATGTGAACAAAATTTCAGAAAGACCAATAATTTTAATGTAAAAATGCAAAAATATTCAAGAGACCAACAAACTGGATGTTCACTCCACTGTAAACAAAGTTAAACTGAGAAACGTTGGTGGGTAATTCGATCAGCTGATTAGCACACAAAAACTGTTCCCTGTATTGTTGATATTATCAATATGTCAACTATATCTATATCTATCTATATATATATATATATATATATATATATATATATATATATATATATATATATATATATATATATATATATATATATATATATATATATATATATATACACACATACATATACATATATATATATACACACACACACACACACACACAGTGGTCCCTCGGTTAACGAACGGTTCGATTAACGAAATTTCGGTTAACGAATTAGCTCCCATGAGAATTTTCAGTTCGATTAACGAAATCCTTACAACAAACACGTTTTGTTGTGCGCATGAGCTGATCGGCTAGTCCGCCAATACAGTAATTGGGTCTATGTTTACATTCGTTTCCAGTGAAGTAAATATCAAGAAAGTTGATCTCTTGAATATTTCTGCATTTTTTATATTAAAATTATTGGTCATTCTGAAATTTAGTTAACATATTGATAATATCCGGTGCAGAAATTATTATGAAACACGAAGAAGGCATTAGGACCAATGCACTCTGTAAAGAATATGGTAATACGACATACACACCTCAAAGTAAGTTAAAATACAGTATATTCTATTGTTTTATATTTATTATTATACAGTATACTGTACAGTACAGTACTGTATTTACCGGTAGTTTATATTTAATATTTTGTTTATTCGATTACTGGCTTTACTTTGTAGGCACTTTTTCTGTGAGTTGGAACCAATTACCCAATATCCCATTGAAATAATAGATTCGGTTAACGAATGACTGTGAAATAAATTGTGTTCGTTAACCGAGGGACCACTGTGTGTATATATACAGTGAGTTCTGCTATAACGCGAATTTGCTCTAACGCGATTTATGAATAGAGGAACGATATTTGTATAACGCGAACGCTTGTTTGCTATAACGCGATTTTTGCTTACTATTTCTCCAATTTTGTGGTATTAACTGTGAATATGGTAAAGAAGAATATCTCCAAGAAGCGTTCTGGTGATAGAATTCCCGGTGATGATCATAAAAGAAAGGATATAACACTTGAAGAGAAGCTCGATGTTATCAACCTCAAAATCACCCTTCTCACCCATCAAGTTACATTCATATTTTTTCAAGTTAAAGTGTTACATTTACTGTATGATTTCATTATTAGATATGATTGTAACATTTATTTAGACTGTGCTATCCTTTGTGTTAGGCTAACTACTAAATTTTTTCGATTTCGAGTAATCTGCACCTAACCCTATTTTCTCCATAAGCCGTTATTTCTATTACGCAATTTTCTATAACACGATATTTTACAAGAACACAACTATCGCGTTATAGCAGAACTGACTGTATATATATATATATATATATTTTATTTTATTTTTTCCAAGTACTACAGGGGGGCCTGGGGTTACGAACGGGTTTCGTTCCTGAAGACATTCTTAAGTCAAAAATGTACGTAAGTCGGAACACATGCTGTGTCCATACCGTACCTACTGAACAATGTTTAAAATCCCACTATATCATAGCCTACAGTAAGTCCTAATATACATCTAAAATCACTTAATTTAAGAGAAAAGAAGAAATTTATACAGAAAATGAAAGTAAAAAATAAGTCATGGGGTAAATAAAATAATTTAAATTTAAAGTTTAACCTCGTTTGTATCGGCGGGCATTCAATTGGACGTTTGTAAGTCATGGACCCCCTGTATGTGTATCTAGACTTTAGTGGCTGCTTCCTTAGCCATTTATGCTTTTCTAATTTAAAGCATTAATCTGGAATTACTTAAGGGTAAATCTATTTAGAATATTGCAACATCAATACTGTACCTGTAAAATGTGGAGCAAAGTGTTCATTTGAATTATGATAAGGAGGTATTGGAGTAGCAGGATTAGTAGAAAATGGAAGTGCTATACAGTATAGATTTAATATTTTAAAGGGGATTTTCTTAGTAGTGGTAGATATTCAAAATATAAGATTTTTGTAAAGCCCATCAAGGTGGAGGAATCATTTATGGCATTCCCAACTTGACACCTGGATCATTTCAAGAGCCAGACTGTATTGTTTTCTATAGTAAGGTAATGGCTAGCAATGAGGTGTCTATAAGTATATAATAGAGTTGATTGGGGAGCAAGGTGACCTTTACTTGTAGAAGATTGAGTGGAAGTTAATAACTTTCTTGTATTTCTTTAAAGTATTCCATAAAATTAATTAAGCTTTAGAGAATATAATTTTTGCAAAGGATAACACTAGTTTTTATAGAATTATTGATAAACCAAATTATCAGGTAAATAGCTTTTGTAATGTTCAGAACTGTTTAGATGTTTTTACTGTAAAACTTGAATGTTAATTTTGTTTAAGGTATAAGAATAGTTATTACAGTATAGTGTTTCTGGGTTCTTTATAGGTCTTATGATACTTCTTTATTTCATGGTTATACTTCTACATAAAATAGTGATCATAGTTAACTGAAGTTGTTGCAGCTTTATATCATCCAAGGATTTTTTCTTCTTTTTTTTTTTTACATATTTTGCTGAAAGTTGTTTATTATCTGTGTGCTTTTTTCTTCTGAAACTGTCTTGATATCTTATAAGTTTTGTGAACAGTATATGCTTTTCTTTAATATATTTTAATACATGTATCTAATTTTAAAGGCCAATAAATTAATGATATGTAATGTTTTCTGTTCCCATTTGTAAGGATGAGATTAATTATGAAAAAATGAAAAAAAACTATTTCTTAACTGGTTTCTTAGTTTATTGGCATGAAAAAGCACACACTTTGATACAAGATCAAAATAATGAGGGGATTCAATGAATCCAGTCCATCCTGCAGCTACCAAGGTCCAAATCTTTTCATAATCTTATACAACAATGGACCTTAATAGCAAGGAAGAAATGTTAAATACCTAGTACTTTTCTTCAATACAGAGAACATCACCTGAAAATCTTATAACCTGAAGGCAAAGACTGTAAACATAGACTTAGCAGCCATATTTAATCTAGCAAAACAAATGATGTGACGGGAATGACACGTTGAAGCCAAGATGGTATTTCAATCAGGTTCATGTTCTCAGTGAATTGGACCATAAATTTGATTGAAATGGCGACCTAAGGCTTGCACTTGTATACCTCGTCACCTATGTAGATGCAGCTCTGCTCTCCCATCACACAGGGTTAGTGGAACGTTGACCTAAGTCAGAGCCAAGTTCAACATGTGACTTAATCTTTAGGGCTTTAAAGAAATTTATATTCTGAAAACATGTACTGTACAATAATTTCTTTTTCTGGGCAATAATCATGCATGTGGTTTACAATTACTCGTGTATTTATTTACATCATGGCCTATTAGTGTACAATTTACTATGCAGATTTATAATACAGTTGTTTATAAACATGTTGAACAAGGCTTTGGCCATAACCCTTAAACACCACTTCAGGCTAGCAAAGGACTTGAGCATCTAGATCTGTAAGCTGATTGGTTATTACAAAGTGAAGAAAAGATTGTGATTGATTGCTTGGCTTTTGCCATCACTCAAGTGGTGTTTCAGGTTGAAGCCTACATCGCTCCGTGGAAGCTTTGGATAGAAGGCACAGGTAATGGCTGAATGGGATGTGCTTAAGTTATATCCACAAGTTTTTTCCATTGTGGTTTTAGTTTGGATTGTTCCAAGTGGCAAATCCTGGCATATTTCACTTAATTTATGTACAAGACCAATTTGATTGGCTATGTGTTTACATGTATGGTATATATGAATACTCATATTCCCCCCCCCCAGTTAAATTATTGCTTGTTGAGCCAATTAATATGTTTTAGGGTTCACATAAAGATGAAATGTTTTTTAAAGCCATCCAAAATAATTACCTCAAAGCCTGAATATGCCACTGATAATTTGTAAAGCATTGAGATCAGGACTTTCAAACTGCCACCATCCATAAGACTCAAGTTCATTGCATCAATTGATGCTAAAAAATTCAGCCTTAGCAGTGTTGAACAAGAAACATTGTGCTCTGACCTCTATGCTCAAGTGGATACAAACAAGAAAGCTATTGAAGCACAATGGTCCAGTAATGTGCCCCAAGGAACTAAACAGAATAGAAGTAATTTTATATGATACTACATTTGACTTTTTGTAGTTATAGTTAATTTCTCAATTTTTTTGCAGCAGTTTACCAATTCTTTAATGAGGTTAGACAAGTTTTGTGAATTTACATACCTCAGTCAAAACATTTATGTCCAATATGATTCATTAAACAAAATGATTAACATAAACAAGACAGGTGAGGTTCTCTTGATTATCACAGAGACATTCAATGGCTGGTTCACAATTATTGAGAGGGGAAAGCAAGACTCTTCAGACCCTAAGTGGTGCCATTCTCGCTTCCTACCTTCCCCTTAGACCGTGCAACTCTGGGGACCCATTGATGTCTCTGACTGTGAAGCAGATATGAGGATCAGCTGAAGACAACGTAAAACCCTTTCAATTGCTTTCAGGGATAAGTTACAAGGACTATAATATCTGAAACTCTCCCTGAGAATGTGTGAGAGTTCTCTGTTGTCTTCTCCTGCCCCTCGGGTATGTGAGGGGTTAGAGGGATTAATATGGAAAGGGAGAGCCTAATCAATAATACCTGGAATTAGGTGGACTAGTATCTCATAATTACAGCTCATCTGCCTTCATTTTGATTTGGAATGGATGACGATGATGAATTGTTGTTACATTATTTAACCAACAACTTTTATTTGTATTATATACATTAACAGGCAGTCATCATAAAGTTAAATGGAGAAAGTCTCAATAATTTGAAACCCTATACCACTACTAATAATTCTGAAAAGAATGGAAAGAGTTGGCATTGTCATTGGTAGCTGCAGTTTGCTAACAATATTTTCTTTCCTTGAGTGGACAAAGAAAACAACTGTTTGAAGCAAAGTAACATAGATACAATATAATAAAGAGGGGGAAGAGGGAGCCAGTAAGATAACTTGGGAGTACATGGCACCTTATTATGTAAAGAGACAATGAAGAGACTGTCAAGAGAGGAAATACTGCTGCACTTTGTAATGTGATCTACATATTTGAGCATTAAGCAGCATTTCTTTCATAAGAATCACTTGTGTGTGGTGAACGGGAAAATGAATCTCATCCGAGATTTCACTTCAGGCTCATAATAACTGATCCTATCACATATCAAGACAAAGTACCAAAAACTGGTTTTGATGTATGATGTAACTGAAGAATCTACCAACAAGATCTGTGAATTGACCAGCAACTTTGTACCTGAATGATCCTCTGATAAAGCTGATTTTCACTTTCACAGCACAGGAAATTAGCCTTACTGAAATGCCATCATAGGTTCAAAATGACTAATCATATCACAGTGGACTACTCCAGTCTTGGATCAACTACATTGTCTCTCTAGGTTAAGCAGAGTTGTAAATAGCTGAAGAGGTTACAGCATTTTGAGGAACTACGGCCGTCTGAAATGTTTAATGGTCACTTATTCCAATATTTTTGTAATCTAGCAAGCAAATAATGCTCTAGAGGTTCTTCCTAGATAAAGTATGAAGCAAATGGTTGGGATGCCCGCCCCCTCTTATCGGTTCTGACATCACAGTCCACAAGAAGAAGAGAGTTGATTAGGAAACTTGAGACTGCATTCGGACACCTTGGGACGGGCAGCCCACTCGAGGTTCTGATCAGTGGAGCCTTCTCCAAGTAAGCCAATCACAAGCATTGTGAGGAGGAGGCCACACCTACAAAACCTGATGGGTTAAGAGTTGTTCAAAGTTCTCATGCAGCAACAAGAGAAAATAATTATCTAAGATTCTCAAACCGTCAACAATAAACAGGCTTAATGTAAAACAAACAATCAGTCAATTATGTACAGAATATATACAGGCCTTTAGAAAGAAACATATAAAAACATGACTGCATTTCTTCAATTATAATGAAGCAATGCACTTTATCAGATCTTGGAGAGGCGAACTGTCACAAATTTCATCATCCTATTTAAATTATCATAATGCTGATTAATTTGGGTAATTACTCACTTGGTATTCTATCTCTCTAAACTAGACTCATTATTCATAGGCATGATACTCATCACCTATGCACTAGTTGGGGAGATATTTGTTGCCATACATTCTGGCTGGCCTAGGTCCTGTACAGTCCATCTCCATTGTCCTTATTTCTATCTTCATCTGCCTTCTTTACTTTTCCCATTTGCTTTCTATCATTCTGTGAAGGATATTCACAGTTTTCAGTTTTTCCACTATTGGCTGAAGCTGAGTGGAGGAGGATTTGTGGATGATTTTTTTCTAATTCTCTATATTTCTCTTATCTAACATTTTTCTAATCACCTGCACACTAGTATGAGCTTGGCAAGTGATAATAACTAGTGAATAAAACTAGTTGTTTCTACTGTCTTACAGAGGGAGGTAGTCAGTTATAATTTAAGAAAACCATTGAAAATGGATAATCAACCTTAAGTGCTTTTCTTGCCCAATTCATCTCACTCACTTCCAGCAACAACTACACAATACCTCAGGGAACCAGGTTTTTTGGTTGTTAACTTTTGAGTACAGGTATATGATCAATTTCAATTGTTTTCTTCCTATGGCTTCTAAACTGCTAAATTGCCTCACCTGATCTAACAGGTCCTTGGGATGACCTAGGCTGGATATTTTCTTGTACTACATTACCTGTAGATATCATGGAACACAAGTGACCTAAATCTCATTGGTAATTTTTATTTTTAGTTTACTTCCTCTTCCTTGACTGTAAAGGAAATTTAGCACCGGGTACAGTCATCCACATATTTACTTACACCTTTATTATGTACACTGTAGATGTCTGGCGAAAGTGATGACTTAAGAAAAAGCAGCACAATTAAGAACATAATTGGACACTGAAAGAGGACACAAACTTCAAAATGTAATAAGTGAGAATGATTCACACAAAGGACAAGGCTTCATATTTTGAATGAACGATATGTTTAGACAATCCAACATCATCACTTAGGAAATATGGGCATAAACGATGCAAAGGCAAAGGGGTGAAGGTTGTGATATGAACACAAAACGTGTCTTTTTTTTATTTCATACACCTCGGTAGCTGATACCTCCTGAATTGTCTATGCAGGGTGAGTGAATGGGCAGTTAACAATGTGTACTTCATAATATCCTAGTTGGTATTTGATTCCTTATCTTTTCACTTGCTACAATGCTTCACTATCAAGCTATCTCTTCTTATATTTGCAGTAACAACAGTCTTCTACAATTCTTTTCCTTGGTTCATTCCAGTAGCCTTCACCAGATGCTTTCCACAATCCCTATGTGCCAGGCAAGTGCACACAAGATGGGCTTAGGTTAGCTTTGTTAACATAAGAACACCACAAGAATACATTTCTTGTTTTTTCAAGAGATTCCAACCACTACAGCAGCATTCCTCCAGTGAACCTTTTGTAGTAGTGAATGACAGATTTTTTTGAGTAATTAATATAAACAACACAGTACTTTAAATTTTTATATATATATGACTGATTATGTCTGGACATTATGCAAGTGTCGTACATGAGTTACGATTAAATTTTCGTAAGCAAGTTCCAATAGCACCTACATCTTGTTATCTTCTTAAGGAGTTCTTACATTACAAACTGGGGCTTAGGGTAATTCACCGATTTCCGTGATTTCAAGAAGTCTCACCTCCATTGATAGGATGATGAGACCCACTGAAATTCCAGAAGCCGATGCTTTACGATAGTAAGGACCATCCTTCCTGAGTGATAGGGCGGCACCTCTTTCAGTGGAGAGGGGATGAGGCTCTCTTGGAGGATACGTGCCAGTGACGGAAACTACACACCCGATCCAGCTACTTTTTCTTGCCTATTCTCCTTCTCTATGCAGCTTTTGTCACATCTTTTTGACTTTTCATGTTGCTTTAGTGTCTCCTTGTTCAGGCTTGACAATTTATTAACTCCCTGTATTAAACATACCACTTGCTTTTTTGCCTCCATGCTTCACTTATTTCTATGTCTTCCTTTACTTTCTTTACTATAATGCACTCTTAAGCCTTATGTAAACATTCTTTCAGATTTTGCCTTCTCACTTTTTCATCTTGGTTCAAATCTGGACATCCATCAGGAAGCAGACACTTTTCAAACCATTTTTCTTTTGGTGCCTTACATCTTCCCCTTCTGATAATTACTCATGAACATCTTCATAGTCAGGGCAGAGAGTATCAACATAGATACTCATGGAATTGTACCTTACAAAGATGCTAGAGGATTGGATTCTAATTAACTTTCCTTTTAACTTTAATCTGCGCCATTTTCACGCACAGGGGTACCAACCTCACCGAATTGGTATCTCAAACCATCCAATAAACTGTCAAAAAGAAACAACCCGAAGATTATCCAACACTTAGAACAGTGCTGGTTTATATCTTATAGTTATCAAGTTCAGGTCTGAATAAGACGGTTTGAAAACAAATTCCTTTTCAGTCCCGCATAGCATGTTGAGGAGCATATGGTCAACCTAGCGCACGCTGTATCTCACAGTTGAGGTTTACGAGCACACACACGACTGCCACCACTTTCACTACTACTTCCAATGCAAAACGCGCCAGCTGCTTATTTACGTCCTTTCCTCCCTCCTTCAATTAGGCCATTGTTCTTAGTAGTAACTAATGAATCACTAGAATAACGAATATATACATTCTTTGTAAAGCTTCAGTAGAATTTGCTTCAGGCACAAACATCACCACTTGCTTGTCGTAACGAAACAGAGTCTGATCACGGCAGCTGCATCATTCGTTGCTCATTTGTTTGTTGTTCCTCCCCGTCCGTTTGCGCGCACACATTTTAGGTTCTTCAGCTTGGTGGCTGCACAGCGGGCTTTAGATTTGGCGGTGGTGGTGGGTTGTGGAAGCAGGTGGTAGTGGTGGTCATGAGAGGGGGGACAAACCTTTAGGGAACCCCTCGGCCTTATATCACTTAATATCATCAGTGTGACATTACACATTTTATCACCACAGCAACGGTCTTCATAACATCATACCCACACTTGACTTAGTAACACAGGAGAATGTATATTGGGGAACAGTTGAACAACAATATATTATGAAATGCATTGTAAAGAGCTAATATTCGAAACTGTTATTATGCAAAGTGAACAAAAACAAATCCTAAAGTTACAATGGTATTAATAAACTGTTATGCCTTATTGCTGTTCAACCTGGGAAAGTTCTAATTCATGTAGGAGTTGGAATGACATTAGGAAGGGGGTCATTAAGAAGAAAAGTTACCAAAAAGGTTTTCAATCCTATCACCCATAGCTACCCCCATCTGCCCACAAAAATACTGCTACCGTAGAGGGTCCTGCGACACTTTGGCATCCGACAAAAGGAAGGCAGGGAGTAGTTCCAGAGAGTCGGTTATAATACTTCGAGGGCCACTGAACTACTGCGACAGAGGAGAGCAGAAAATTCGTAGAAGATATTAAGGGGTTCAAATAGGCATGGAATAAATGCTGGTGGTGCCTCGGGGCAGTTGGGGGAAGGCATATATGGGATCCACTACCTTAGAATGCTCCTAATATGGGATCTGAACTTTGGGTCATACATCAGCTTCAGGGAATTCCCGTCAGGCAAATTTTTTTTTTACCAAGTATGAACACAGGATTTTGGCTCTTATGACACCCCATGAAGCTTGTGAATTACCCGAGAACCAGAGCTGTAAGATATGGATTTTCAAGGACCGCTCTCAGATACCTTGTGGTCTTTGGAAGCGGCAGGATAAAGTTCAGACGGAAGGAGAACATGCCAGAGAGAGTATATACCTTCAATCCCCTCTCTAACGGGGACCCAGGGCAACTAGGCTCGTTGAGAGGAGACTAGAAAGGGGATTAAACAGAGGGGAAATTGGCCTCTCTGGCATGATGAGGGACCTTGGGATTATCAAACATTACAAGTTTGTCATGAGAACGCGTTAGGTAGCGGATAAACTTGAACCACTTCTTGGGAACAATGTAAAGAGATAAGCTATTATGAGACTATGACCAGACTTCATTGAAGCTTCTTTTCTTGGAAAAGCAGCCATGAAAGAACTATTCAAGGCCCACAGTGGCTCATCCTATTACATACATGGGCTCATCTCAGCAGCATTCACTATCACCACACTGATTTCATAACTGATGAGTTTATTATAAAAACAAATTTAGATATTTCATATTTAAAAGGTTATTTTCTAACTGAGGTCATTCTTCCACTATTAGATTAGGGGATATCACATGTACAGTATATCAAACGCTTCTTAGTCCATCTATGCAGCCTTCCTCTCTTGCGCTGTTTTGATTGCAATTTTTGCACTACTCTTGGGTCAAATTAGATCAGGAGAAGTTCAGAGGTGGGAATTTCTTAAGTATCACCACTGATACAAATGTATGACCTATTACTGAGTTGCTAATCGTAAAACCATGTTTTGTATTAATCGCATAAACCCTGTAACCCTAATTTGCCTGATGCCCTTGATTGTTATCTTAAAATTTAAATTCATCAACATTTATATGACCTAATTTTACTTTTCCTGAAAATTTCAGAAGCACTACTGAACTTAATCTATACAAATTTTACTATTTTTTGGTATGTTCACACTGATCTTTCTTTTAACTAATGTTTTACTATGATTATCTGTAACCTTTGACCTCCTGACCCAATATGACCTGAGTGCTTCTCAAGGCTGCCTTCTTCGCTACGAAGCTCGCAGGATGAAGATGGCGCGGCAGCTAGACCCACTTTATAATTACTTTGTGCACTTGATATTGGCACTGCTCGACTCCTTCCTGCCACCTGCAAAAAGTTTTCAGCATTAAAATTCTGTATTACACCTGAATAGAAAAAATAATTCATAGTTTCACTGTACTGATCTCTCTCTATCATCTCTATGCTGCTGCTCCTCCATGTAGGAAACTTCATATTTATGTAGTTACTACAATACCATTGAATTATAAGAAGAAACATTGAATATTTAAAACACAAGATTATAAGTAGGATCCAGATAACGATGCACTTAAAAATGGCGGTAAATATTCGTTTTTAACCCAATAGGTATTTTGGATTTTTTATCATTATCAATGGATTATTATTTTTGGGTTAGGTTAGGCGAAGTCAGGTCAATTAAAAAAAATACCAAAATACTAGAAAAATAATATATACTAATTGGGATAAAAACAAATTTCTACCAAAATGGCTAAATATGCTGCAAAAATTTAGGATAAATTCACGATAAAACAAGTTAATAACTTACTTTACGGTACGTTTTCTTAGTAAACTTATTGTCCCAGACAGGATGTTGTAGTGGATTTCTCCCCTACAAACGCTGTTTGTCGCTGCATAGCCGACCCCGCGAATTCCCCAGTGTATGCCTCGTGGTCTGGGTCAACCAGTGCCGCCATACATCACGGAGGTCAACTACTAAGCCACGCCTACCCCCCGCTATTTAAGACCTGACCTCGAGGTGATCTCTCTCTTTCTTACCTACACCAACCAGCCAGCAACACCTCCTCCTCCGCCTGCCTGGCGGTCCTCGTTCCCGCCGGCGAGCATGGCGACCCACAGGCTGGTCCTCCTCTGAGCATCCTCACCAACCAACTCTCTTCTTCTAGCTACAGCCGCAGCAAGTTACACCACCTCCTCCGCCTCTGCCTGGCGGCCCTCACTCCCGCCGGCGAGCATGGTGACCCCCGGAGGTTCACACTCACACAGGATGGAGGAGAAACAGATCACTCTCCCAGTCTTCAAGCAACATGGAAGACTGGTTTATCCACCCAGAAGCAGCTCTCATCGGCTCTACAGCTACTGTCTCTACACCGTAGGTTAGACACCCTAGAGCAGCTCTGCTACTCTAAGCAGACAGCCGCTCCTATTCCTGCCCCAAGCACCACGTCCTACCGACCCCAACACACCCGTCCTGCCTTAGGCGCCGCCCCCGGCCCAGCAGTAGCCCCTGCCGCTTCTCCTGATGCAGCCCCTGCTCCTGACGCGGCCCTTGCGCCTGAGTGCGGACCAACACACCCATCCTGCCTCAGACGCCGCCCCCGGCCCAGCAGTACCCCCTGCCACTTCTCCTGATACAGTCCCTGCTCCCGACGCGGCCCATGCGCCTGAGTGCGGACCCACACACCCCTCTTTTCTCCCTCAGGTAGCCCCCCTGCTACTGTCCTGCACCCTGCTGCTGTCGTGGACCCAGCTGCTGTCACGAGCCCTCATCCGCTTCTGCTGACGCAGCCCCTGCTCCTGACCCAGGCCCACACACCCCAGCAGGCGCATCTGACGACTCTGTACCTGCCGTGAGGGAAGCACAAGATTCTTCGCCTCCACACACCCTTTTTCTCCCTCCCTACTCCCACAGATATTGTGTATCTAGACAGTGGTCTCCTCTAGCGGCCGGCTCATCCACGCCATCGCCGTTATGTTTCACATGAGGCATGCACCACCCGTTCTGCCTCACATGTGCCATGCAACCCTGCAGACAACAAGTCTCCTACACTGCCTGGAGGGAAGGAGGGAGTATTGTAGTGGATTTCTCCCCTACAAACGCTGTTTGTCGCTGCGTAGCCGACCCCGCAAATTCCCCAGTGTATGCCTCGTGGTCTGGGTTAACCAGCGCCGCCACACATCACGGAGGTCAACTACCAAGCCACGCCTACCCCCCGCTATTTAAGACCTGACCTCGTGGTGATCTCTCTCTTTCTACCTACACCAACCAGCCAGCAACACCTCCTCCTCCGCCTGCCTGGCGGTCCTCGCTCCCGCCGGAGAGCATGGCGACCCACAAGCTGGTCCCCCTCTTTCTACCTACGCCAACCAGCCAGCAACACCTCCTCCTCCTCCGCCTGCCTGGCGGTCCTCGCTCCCGCCAGAGAGCATGGCGACCCACAAGCTGGTCCCCCTCGCTCTACCTACACCAACCAGCCAGCAACACCTCCTCCGCCTGCCTGGCGGTCCTCGCTCCCGCCGGCGAGCATGGCGACCCACAAGCTGTCCTCTGAGCACCCTCACCAGCCAGTTCTCTCTACATCACGCTTGTAACCATGCTGCCTTCCCAGCACCAAGCTGCATTGTACATCCAATACAACATGTATACAGAGAGCACATTGTGAGTTTCCTTTCTCCATCCCATCCTGAGTGTGAACCCAAACATCCCATACCCCACAATGTCTCCGTAAGAATGATTTCTTAACGAAAGATTAAATATAAAAACCAATAACCTGACTTAAATATCACTTAATATATTTACACACAGTAACTAAATGCAAGTTATGTCACCTATGTTACTTTTATGTATACAGCATGTTGAAAAAAAAAATTATTGGGAGAAAATTAAAAGCTAATTCTTTTAATGAATAATATTAAATAACAAACATTATAATAAAAAAATAAACATGGTAACAATCTATGAACCTGAATTGCACTTGTTGACACGTTATATATGGCTAATAACTAGTGTTAACTTTGTTCTGCTTAGCATTTACTGTGTATTTTATGGGGGTAAAAACAGGCTAAATCACAGCGTCACCAACAAATTCTACTCCTTGACACATGTTTCACACACACACACACATATATGCTGATAACCACAAGGAAAAAGAAAACACGAAGTTCCCAAGCGCTTTCGTGTAATTCACATCTTCAGGGGTGAGTACAAACTGAAGATGTGAATTACACGAAAGCGCTTATCAGCATATAAATATATATATATATATATATATATATATATATATATATATATATATATATATATATATATATATATATATATATATATATATACTTAGTCAAAATATAAAAGTGCCAGCAAAACTTAGTGATCATTTCAGTGGGGGATGAGGATATAGAATTCACAGCTGTACCTCCGTGTCAGGAACCAAAGAGGATTCACCATTGTTGAAAGCCGTGCTTCGATACACTGGCGAGTTGTCCAGTCTTCTCGGACTATTCTTTGACACTGGGTCATGCAACTCGTTAAGTTAGGGTGTGGTTGTTGTGTTGGCGACAGTTTCTACACCTTAAACAAATTCACGCCTAGGTGGCCTTAGGGCCGGCCATCCTCGATCTCGATGGGCAACCATTACTGCATTATCATAGTTTCTCTGAACAGGAACCCATTACATACAATTCTTGTTCATTGACCAACCGATCATGGTCTAGCCTAACCACAGCCTGATTTTGAGCCATACAGACTTAATTATGTTTGTTTTGGACATTATAACTTTAAGTATCAGAGAAAGATGAATAATTTAGTATAATTTCTTAGAATAAAAAAAAAGAAATAAAATAAAATACATATATATATATATATATATATATATATATATATATATATATATATATATATATAATATATATATATATATATATATATATATATATATATATATATATATATATATATATATATATATATATATATATATATATATATATATATATATATATATATATATATATATATATATATATATATATATATATATATATACCAAGACTATATGAATCTGCACTTCAGCTAAAATATGCATAATTATCCGGACTCTAATTATAAGTATTTAGGTAAAATGGGAGTCAATAACAGAAAACGGCAACTATCACCAATTCAGGTACAGTACAATACATTACAGAAATACAATCCTAAATGGCATCTGTTAGAAAAGAAGTCATGAAAACTAGAATAAAATCAAGGTTGAGTTGACCACTTGCTTTTTCTGAGTTGCACTTTATTTTGCAAATTCAAATTTAAGAATAATGGCTTCTTACGTGTGCATATAGGCTACTGTAGTTTACACACGTCTATGTGGTATACATGTATATTCTTGTATGGTTTAATGCGGAAATTTGTTGTTGTGTTTGTTTTTCAAAGGTGTGTAACTATGCGTACAAAGTAATGATTATATATGTATGTATTTGTGTGTATTTCCGTATCTCGCGTGAGCATATATTGCAGAATTTTTGAACGATACTAATATAATGAGTGATACGAGACAAATATAAATAACAACGCCATATCGCCAGTCGGAATGGTGTATATGGCGTAGTATTTTGATCCCACCAAGCTCTACAATGTACCAAATCAGTCTGACAGGAATAAAGATCTGAGGGAACGATGGTTCCCCTTTATGGAGCAGAATTCGTTCACGGGTCTGGTTACAAGATGGTAGCAGGGTAAAGTAGCACGTGCTTTAAAAACCTACCAGTGTGAACGGGAATAGTAAGAAGAAAAATACTCGAAATGTGTCAGTTTAACTGAGTTTTACAAATGTGAAAGGTTTATAGGAAGGGAGGGTGGTAATGTTTGTAGGCTTGGTAAGTTCGTGAGTCGGTCGTCACTGCAGAGACGGCGCTAGTGTGGCTGCGTCGCGCCGCCTGGTGCTGCCATCTGTCCGCCGCTCTTGGCAACATTCATTATTGATCCCTCAGAGCTGGGGAGTCCCCTTCAATAAATTATTTAAAACATACTTGCTTTATTTACCCAAGCATTACCCTGATGGCTTAAGCGTCACAGGTATTATGGTGTTTATCTAACCAATCGTCATATTCAGTTTGAAAAAGGTGATCTAAACAGGAATAACCGACTTAGTCGGAGAGCTGGCGGTCTCCTAAGAACAATCTGAAGCCCAGGTTTAAAAGCGTAATTACACAATGTTGAATACAAGGAAGTGAAAATACACGACACAAAACAATATCAATTAACATGGTAGCACAAGGCAAGGATACACTTTTCTTCTGATATTTGGGGAATTTCGACGCGTACGGTGGCGATGATGTTGGTGTGTGTACAATATACACCAGTA